AAAAAAAAAAAGAACCAAAAGGGGCAGCAGGCCCAGAGTTTCCTAGCCACCTTATTTCTCCCACACTGTGTGCAAGCAGACAGATGAGGGACTTCATTTTCTTGCATGGTTTCTTACTCATGGTTTCAAAGAGAGAATTTTTTAATCACCTGAACTAGACCTTAAGATATTCTATATCTCGACTGGTCAAGAAGCAAAAGGAAGAAATCATAACCACTTACAAGTTTGTTCTTTATTTTTTGTAAGCCGGCCTTTTAAGTCCGAGAGGACTTTCTTGTGAGATTCTGGCCTTGGAAATTAGCAACAGGATACTTATAACATTTGTACTGCCTTTTCTGCAGCCCCTTTCAAAGAAACCAGAATTATTAGTTTTTAAATTGTAAATAAGTTTTCTCTGCCTACACACTTATTAGTGACGAACTGAAGGAGGCAAGGAAATATTTCACTATTTTCGGACTTGGTTCAGTGTATCATACCACACTCTCAGATCACAAAAGTATGAGCCTGTGGATCTTAGTATCCACATGGAGCTCAATAGCTCACCATAATGAAGGAGCTAACGAACTTCTAGATGTAAAAGGGATGCTCTCCAGAAAACACGTTCTGACCAGGAGAGGATCTGCAGATTTACTGAGTTCCCAGCTGAGCTCTAGCAATGAATCATAATGAACTATTGCCCTTGCTGAAAGAGTTCAGTCACCACCAGGACCAAGGTGAACAGAAATGGGCAGACCCTTCTACATACTTGGAAAGTAATCCTCTGGCCTTTGAAAAAAAGTTGTACACTGATGAGTCACTCTTAATACATGGCTAGAAGAAAACAAATGGCTTTTTTCCTTATTTACTCTACAAACTAGTTTAAGAAGTGAGGATACTATGATATTAACTAAGAGGTGCTGGGAAGGGAAAATGGGATAGCATTTCCTAGTATAGTCCACTAATTTTCAGATTAGGAACATGCTAAACTGGCTAACTCTACAACCACAACATACTTTATAATACACGGCGTGACTAGAGACTGACCAGCATAGCTTTGAACTTAGAATTAAAGTACAACTGCATATGGTGAATCTTAAAGCATGTTTTAAAACAGATTTAACCAAAGCATACAGCACAAATACTTGTATAACAGCCACATCACAACCACCAATAAAGATTTTTTTTTTTGCTTCTAATCAGTCTGCCATATGCTAATATTTGTAAAGAGCTATTAAATGACTTGAATAAAAAACAAAGACATTTTCTTTCAGGAGACACAGCTAAAAGCCATGGATGCCTTTGAGCAGTTGGTAAAAATCATGCCAATCTGCCAGGCTGTTGCTTGCTTCTAAATATAAGCCTCATGGCTCTATGAAAGATTTTCTAAGGATGCTAACCTAGAATTTAAGTTCTCAAATACCTATAAAATAACTCTAGTCTCCTCCCAAAGTATGCACCTTTTAGCAGGCCCAAGACAATGGAAACGAACAATAGGATTCCAAGGATTCAAGATAGTGGTAGAAGACTCTTTACGAGAATGTGATGTTGAAGAATTCATACCTGTAGTTCTGTAGCCTGGAAAGAACAAGGCCAGAGCCAAGCTCTGCAGACTGGTGGGCTTGGGACGGTATAGAGCAGGGTTTCTCAACTTCAGCAAAAGTGATGCTTGGGGCTGGATCATTCTTTGTTTGGGGGACTGTCCTGTGCATTGCAGGATGTTTAGCAGCATCCCTGGCCTCTAGATGCCAGTAGCACACCACCATCCCCCCCAGTTGTGACAACCAGATGTCCCCAGACATTGCCAAATGTGCCCTAGGGGACAGATTTGCCCTTAGTTGAGAACCACTGCTGTTGAGTCAGCTCACTTGAGCCTCTTAGCAGGGAGCACTCCCTTTTGGTCTTGGCCTCTGGAGAGAGGCTAAACTTCAGAGCAAGACCAAACAAGGTTCAGTTAAAGTTCATTTAGAACTTTAGAGCTAAAGTTCATTTAGAACTTTAGAGAAGAAAAACGAGGATGGCAGAGAAGTAGAAAAACAGCAAAGCAGAGTTTCTTTTCAAAAGAAATCAGTAATACTTTCATAAAACAAAGTACTTTATAAACTTTCATTCAACCTTTTTATCCTTTAGGAAGTTAGGGAAGGTAATAGAACATGGATGTTATAGATTCCCTCCTTCCTAAAGAAAATGTAAATTTTTGTGACTTTAAATCAAGTCCTTCCTATCATGGATGGCAATTTTTGTGAGGTCAATAATTCTTCATCAACCAAAGGGGAAAACGACAGTTAAAAGCTAAGAGAGGGCCCGTTAGATCTAAGAGAAAACTTTACCACCCCTCTGCGAGCAGGAAGAGAATTACATGCTAGAAATGCGGATTGTAGTTCACTTACAGCTTACTGAGGATCAGTGAAAAGTCAGAACAGACAAAAGCTGAGAAGAGGATAAAAGAGCTACCTTGAAACACCAGTTGAAAACATTGTAGATATTTGTAGATATCTTCTGGCTCAAATCTGGGAATGTACGAAAAGTACGTATTGACTCTTCATCAGTTAGGTTTACGTTGCTCTAGGTAGAAGGCAATTATTCTAGCCCTTCTTTGAAGAACCATCATGAATATAAATGTTCTGCAAATATCTGAGATCCCAGTGTTAGCAAGGATGGCAACATGGGAAACCAGCCCCTAGGTGACAACGAGCCTCAACTGCCACACAGCATGGCAATGGGACTGCGCAGTTCCTAAGCGTACAGCACAGTGAGAAGTCTTTCCAGAGGAAAAAAATGTAGTTTCTGGTTTGCAAGGGGGAATACAAGGTATATATCTAGTATGAAAAAGAAGAGTTAAATATACACCCTTTTAGTCGTTAGTAACTAGGCAAAAACTGCTGAGGGTCTACCTCACTTGTATTACCAAGCAGCTGCCTGGGAAAAGCCAGAATTCAGAGCTACCCAAACAGTACTGAACTGGTGAAAGAAACAAGATAGAGAACTAAAGAGCATGCAAAACTATTGATTTGAATCAAATTGTTTCAATAATAGTACCCAGTTGAGTTTCATTTTAGTGCCTATTACACTTATTAAAATTAAATAAAAAGCACCTTAAAATGACCTCTATATATAATCAATACACATCATTATAGTATTTATATAAAAATGCAATATGTGCACAATTTAAGCTTCAAAGAAACTAGGACCTTTTCCTTTATAATCCTCATAATTATCAGAGCTATGATTCTCAAAATCTTGGGGGAGGGTTAACGGTAACTCAGCACATTTCAATTATAGCTGACTTGATTCAGGGGCTGACACTCTCAGAATTCTGGAACAAGTAAGAAATACTGAGAAGTTAGCTCTTTGAGGGGTGGGAGGGACTTTTAAAAGTATTATTGCTAAGAGACTACTTCCAAAAATCTACTACTACTGATAAATGATGGTGCTTAGGTGCTTTCTGTCAAGGATGGCCCAAAGACACGGGGGTATAATACTTGTTGGCCAAAGCCCTTGATGGTACTTGGGAGTTTAAAGAGATCAAATGAGGGAAAGATAGGTCCTGTTCTGATGGGTGTGTGTATGTATGTGTGTGTGTGTGTGTGTGTGTGTGTATACAGGTGTGTATGATAACCTTGTTATAAATGGACAGTCTCAGGAGGAAAAAAATGAATAGAGCAATTTTCTCTATATCTGGAATTGTTCCAGGAGACTTTAAAATATAGTATTGGAAAGAGCAATAAAATAAAAAGCATTTAGAAATAGAAATGCCACACATGTATCTCACACCCCACCAGCCAAGTGTCTCTAGGACAGTGGACAGTGTTCAGGAGCATAGAGCTGGTTTGCAAGATCTGCAGACAGGTGCCTCTTACAACCTCGCATGGAATATTCACTGGCAAATCTTTGGTCTACGCTCTACACTAATGCTAAGTGGAAGAGCACATTCTCTCTACAAAGACCCACGAGTAATGCCTCAATCTATATTCTCCCCTCATGTGCAAGTAACGTCCCTGGACACAAACAGGAGCCAAGTGTGTGAGGATGGAAACAAGGCCTGCTGGAATGCTCACTGGCCCACCCAACTTTCTTCCCCTGCAGGTTTGGAAAGAGATGCTGCATTTCGTCTGCTACCAAGGATCATGTCTAGAGGCTACTGCTGGGGCCTAAAAGTTGAGCAAGGTTCATACTGTTACAGTCACATGTAGCCACAATTCAACTCCCTTTATTAGAAGTATAATACTCACTTCATATCACAAATGTATAAAAATATGGCAGATAGTGTCATAACGATACTTTCTTTAAATGAATATATTTATAAAACAGACAGATATTTACCATATATATATATATTTATATATAGAATAAAATACTCCTGATGCAATATATAAATGTTACTGTTTAGTTTTTATAGAAACTACTGTAGCTGTCCCACTGCTTCACAATGTTCCAAACAGCTCAAAATAACTTTACATTATAACATAAAAGGTATGATTATAACAGTACAATATTAATTATAAATAAATGTTACAAATCCTATCAAATATGGAAGTTTAGAAAACAATTTAAGACATACAGTTTATCTGCTAACCCTTCAAAGGGATACTCTTGGATTACAATAAACCCCACATTTAGTCTAGGCAGAAAAAAATATGTGGTAAGGGCATTGGTCAACATGGATTTTTCTATCCTTTGCAGTGCCAGGACACGTCCTGGTTTTCCCAAGTTCAACAGAGATTGCACTAAAGCTGGAGTATAAGGGGGAGAAACTGGCAAGAATGTCATCTTTCTCAATGGCACACTCTATCCATTCTCACACAAGACCTGTGGGGAGTGGCGATCCCTAAGGAACCCCTGTGGCTCTAAGATCCCTGACTAGCATTTGTGGCTGTGAGGAGCCCAAAGGCCCCACACATACAATATTGCACACGCCTTCATAAAGCTGAAAATACTGGCTTACCACCCTAGCCCAGCCCATTCCCCAGCCCACCCTACCCCTTCCCTCCTCCCCACTGGCTTGCCCACCCCCCCCTCCCCCCACCAGCACAAATTACAAGGCTGTCTCTTTTAAATCGTTCAGATTTGGCATTCGTGAGCGATTTGTTCTGTTATACGGGTGCCCGTTTGGCCCACTCTTGGCACCCAGCTGTTCAGAGTAGGAAGGTCCCTCTGTGGCACTCCTGGTCACAGAGGACACGTGCCAACCAGGATCCATCTGACCTGGCAGCTGGAGGGCTGGCCTGCCCTTTGGGGTGGGCTCCTGCCGGATGTTGCTGCTCCCGCCAGAGGCCTGACTCAGGGGGTGAATCCGAATTTCTGAGAAGGAATTTTTGGCTTGTTGAGCTGTTAAGGGCTGGAAGCGGGGATCTGAGGAAGCCGGGTGATTTGAGGCTGAAGAGAGATGTAACAGCTTGCGCAGTGATTTTAACGGCTGGCTCTGAAAAAAAGGATGAGAATGCATGCAGGATTTCATTTAGAGTAGACCATAAAGCTGGGGGGAAAGGGAGCTCAGATCTGAGATGACTAGAAGTAGCCAGGGAGGGCAAGCATGTGGGGGGAAGGGCTTGTCCAGCTGCATCTATCTGCTGGGTTTTCTTCAAACAAGATTGTAGCTATTGTTCTTTAATGTGAACGCCCAGAAATCTAGATTAGACAACTAGAGCTGGTATGGCAGGTGATCAAAGGCCCAGACTCCTTCCACCTGGCTGCATTCTATCTTTACCAGGGGATCTCATGCTTTAATCAGCAGGAAAGAGAAAGGAAAAACAAAAGAAGGGATGTGCCTTTCCCTTTTGAGAAGACTTTCCAAAGGTTCCACTTATATTTCATTACACAGGCACACAACGGTATCTAGCTGCAAAAGCAGCTTAATAAAATGTAATTTTTAGCATTTTCAGTTGCTGTGGCATGTTAAAAAAAATAATAATAACAAAATGTAATTTTTAAGTTAGGTAGCAATGTACTCAGCTAGAAATTGTACAGCCCTTTTTGTTCTTATCTCCCTGATTTTCCCTTTCTCCTAATATTGTAAAAATCAAATGTTCCCTTGCTGCACTTTTACTTTTTTTTGAGGGGGGGAGGGTAAGGTTTTGGCATTAAATGCAAAGCACAGAGAAACATGTAACACCCCTGCAAAATCTAACAGACAATTCATTCAGAGTAGTCCTTCAATATTCAATGGGCTCACAGTAGCCGTGTCTGTCTGTCCACTGTGTGGCTACTGGCCAAAGGCCCCGCAGGGTGCTGCACTGTGGAGGGAGACTGGCTTCAAGGTAGAAGGCAGGGGCTGGGAAGCAGTGTGCCCCTTACTGCCTATCCTCAGGCCACTCCTGAGCCTCAGGTTCCTCCATGGTGAAAGGTGGCTCACTCTCTGCTTCCTCTACCTCTACCTCAGAAGAGACAGAGAAAGCACTTAAAAATACACAGCCAATCACTACTGCTGGACTCTGCTACTCGGGCTACAACCTAGTCTTGGGAGCACCTCTGGTGACAATCCTCAGAGTACTTTTACTTTGAGTGTCATGGTATAAGGGACATTCATTTAAGGGCTCAGCAGAGTTTGAATAAAATGCTGAAGATCTCAAGGAACACTGTAAGATTTGAAGGAACAGGCCGTTGAAAGCCAAGGTAAATGGCTTCAGAATTGACTCAAGTAGATACTGCTCCTGGGGAAGTATTCTCCATTGCCATTCCAAAGTCTTTCCAAGAAAGCTTTGTGGTCCCTGTAGGAGATAGCATGGTATACTGCACATTGTAAATGCTCAAAAGTGTTCTTTTTTTTTTTTTTTTGGTGTTTCATTACACTGGTATGATAACATGAGACGCTGATGATTCTTATAGCCCTGACCACATGTAACTATTGAGCAATTACAATAATCTGGATTTGGATAGTGATGTAAAGTTACTTGGTAAAAGAAATGGTTTCATTAACAAGGTTCTATAGCCCCGATTTATGTCTTTATGTCCTTAGCTTGGATACATATTCAGTAAACTTGGATACCTGATCCTCTGCCCCCTCCACTCCACACCCATATTATGTTAGAAGCAGAAAATGTTGTTGGACAAATAGAATGGGAATTAGAGGAACTCTTGTCGGTAGCTCTAAGTAACAGCTTACGGTTAAAGAGTAAAAACAAAACCTATAAAAAGTAGCCCCCACCCAAAATCATAGAAATCTATGGTCATTGATAGGCACAAGTAACCCTACATCCTCAAAAACTCATGGGGGTTGTCAGAAATTATAATACAGAGGAAGAGTACATTTATAAAATGTTGAATATGATAAAAAACCAAGGTATATTATGTTACTATGGTCATTGTGGGATACTGAAAAGATGTAATATTAAGACATTTCCAATCAAAATAGTTTTTTAAAGGAGATAAACCTCAGTTACCTGAAAAATCTACTGATTCAGTTTCTGCTTATTCTCCCATTATGGCAGGTAAACATGACTACATAATACTGTCTAATATGTACTTCCTAATGCAACTGATTGCCCATTTCCTGGCAAAAATAATATGGATTTCAGAAGTTGAAATATTCTTTCAAGAAAGCTTATTATACCTGTCTTTCAAGGCCCAATTTGCATGCTACCACCTTTAATGAAAACTTAACCTTCCCATCACCTCCAGTCACCCTGCCCAAATGGCATGCCTCACTTCTTACCATGAATTACGGTTCTTTATAAATCTCCTCTCTCTCCTGAGCTGTAGGGTATTTGTGGGCTGGGGCTATGTCTTTTTCATCTCCCAGGCCTTCGTGCCACCCTCTACCCCGTTGGTAAGTGAAGGGTAATGCCCTCCCCTCCCCTCAGGACAGTCACTGCTGAGTCGGAGGGAGAGTCCAGGAGTAGTGCAGGCTCTACTCACTTGGGTCTGTAGATCCGAGATCTTCTCAGGGCGCCACTCCTTTGGTCTGCTGCTCGGAGTGCTAGCAGAGTGAATGGCTTTCTGCAATGTCAGAAGATCAGGGCCCTCAGAATTGGGCACCTAGAGTAAAACATGGACAAGGAGGATTCCGTAAACACACCAATAAGCCTAATAAAGATATGCGCCCATACCCAAGAAGAGAAATAAAACAAAAGGCAAATGAAATCAAACCAAAACTCAACCAAAACAAAAAAAGAACCCAATAAAAAAAGAAACCAAATCTTTCCCAATGTTCACAATGCAAGTGATGCTAGTTAAATTCTTCTGCCTTCTTAATAATTTTCCCTGCATTAGGAAAAATTGGCAGATGTCATGCAGCTTTGTTAAAACCTCAACCCTTAAAGCATTCCCATGCTGTTAGTTTTAGTCGCTGTAAGAGAGAGCAGTTAAATTGGGTTGTACCAGGAATTGCCGTCGTATCCTCATTTCATATTGCAGTTAGGTTATGAACCAGTTCAATAAAATAAAATTTTTTTTTCCTGCTGGGAAAATGACCCAAACACTGTATTTGGTAGTGCCAAAGAAGTCTAGTAGGCTTTCAATGGTAGCAAAGTGGGAAAGTATGGTTTGGATCATATTCCCAAACCATTACCCAGTAAATCTGGGTCTAGTGTTATGCATTAGGAAAATGATGGAAATTTGTGTCACAAATTCCAGATGAATGTAATTGGTCTGTTCACCAATTTTGGTGAACACAGGAGAGTAATGCCAAATGCCAAGCAAAAGCCTTGGCTTTGAACTAAGTGACCAGCAAAAGCTAGAGCCAGGCAAGGAAAGAACAAGTCACCAACTAACAGAAGCTGTTTTTTCATGGAGCCTGCTAGCTCATTCAATTTGGTCAATTCAACTTGGCTTCAAAAAAAACAAACTGCCAACCAAGTGTTAACAAACTCTGTGAGCCAAATGCAAAGACATTTGTTAATTGTAAATGTTAATTGAATTCTTTACAGGAAATACAGGATTTTAGGAATGTTGTCTGCCAATAATTGGCTAATCAGGCAATACAAACCAGCCTTTCACTAGTTTGTTTAATAGACTTTATGCTTCAACTTCCTTCACTGATTCAGAAAATCCAGAATGCCAAAGAATTTATATCCCAGTGAATTTATGGAACTGGCTCAGGTACTTAACTAGCATTAAGAGAATATGACCCCATGAAAATAAGACATGCTGTTGTCATCAGTAAAACAAGTTTTACTGGAGTAGTTTTCAGGGCTACTATACATAAAAATGGGTACCATGGGTGGAGTGACTACAGGAAGCTTTTTCAAAGAAGAACTATGCTTTAAATGATTCTTTGAATTAAAAAGAGGAAAGAGGGATTTCTTGATGCTTGGATTCTCCCCGTTGGTGGAATCTGTCTGCAATATAAGATACAAATAAACTAATTGCAAAAAAAAAAGGGTGCTTTTATTGAAACTACTAGCCCTTGGAAGCTCTCAAATTGCTAAATATTAACAGTCACTAAAAGAACTTCTGTGCTGTGTATCTATAGAGGTTCTGTGTCATTTCTCACCTGGAAATAAAGATGTCAATAATGTAAATTCAAGACAAGCACAAACGTCTTCGAAGTATATAACAAGTGGTCACGATCAATATCTCTAGTAAGAATGCCTAGAGATCTACAGACATCTACTCATATTAAGCTTACAAAACATTTAAGAATTTACTTATATCAGAAATAGAATTATTATAAAGAATTGTGTTTAAAGCACTATTGATAAACTTCAATCTTTTTCTAATTGCTAGAGGACTTTAGCAACTAAAAAAAATCTACCATGTAATTTGCCTATTAGGTTAAAAAAAAAAGATACTGCAAACCTTTTTGAATTTGGTCAACTCTTGAGCCAGAAACCACCACTAGAAAGAGGAATATCATCGTGGCGGGATACTAATGTTGAGTAAGAAGCTTTGTTCTACATTATTAGAAAAATTTACCCAGTGGAAAATACCTGGCACAATTCAGAATCCTGGTCTTCAAAGGGAAGAAAGAGAAATTTCAATCTTTAAATTGAAGCATAATCATAAGTGGAGATACTAACTAACTAGAATAAAATTACCAAGTTGGCAAAGTCACCATATGCTCTGAGGGCTTATGTAACTCTCTGGATATGTAACTGGAGCCAGATTTCCCAAGGCAGCTTCCAGATTTGCTTGAGTCAAAGCAGGCACCTTTACAATACAGAATTATTTTTTGGCACTACTTTTCCTTGTTTTGGATATCTCAATCCTCAGAGAACTAGAATGTACATGAAGGTATTCAGATCATCTTTTAAGAGTCTATGTATGAAGACATTTGAGTAACACCCCATGAATTTTCCTGTTCCAATGACAGGAACCCCAGGGAAGAGTTTTACTTGCGTTGCTAAAGAGGCCAGAAGAGCTCCCAGAGGCGGGCTCATGGACTGAGCCTGGGCTTGGTATTTAGGAGAACCCAGTTCTAGTTCTCCCAACTGATTGTGTTTGGGCAGGTCACAACTTGCTTGGGCTCAGTTCCTATACCGTGAAATGAAAAAGTTAAACTAGATTTAGGATCCAACTCAGCTTTAAAATGTCATACTTCTCTGTGTGCACTGGGCATCAGATTTTAATTTTTTTCGAATCTTATGCAAAAGCCGCAATGCCTTTAAATCTTTCAAAGTTTGTTTTAGTTTCTTTTTGCTGAGTTCTAGAAAGTAAAAAATCATTAACTTTAATTATGTCTAAATGCTCATTCAAAAAAGGAAGAGTTAACCCAATGCCAGGCTTAAGAGCCTGAGGTCTGGCAGGTGGTACTGAGCATTCTTTGGAAATCTGAAGCTAGATTCCAAAGCCCTTACATTTTTTTCTTTTGAATAAAAAATGCAGAGGTACGAACAACTTTTGGTTTGGAAAGCTTAAGGTATTATGACCTGTGCAAAGATATTTAGCAGTTATGTTATATATCAAAATGGAAACTTATAAAAACCTAAAAAAATAAGTTTAAGTGGAAAGGATGTTAGAGAATAGTAATTTTCCTATTTATCCTAATCTTTACTATTTAAATATTTAAAATTTAAACTAAATCCTGAATAATAAAGTCAGTCAACATGTATATACTCTACTCATGCCATGGTGAGCCAGGGACTTTTGGTTTAATGTTGGTCTAAGGCAGACAGGCAGCAAAATCTAAATCTATACACAAAAACACCTTTAATCCTTCAATCCTTCCTACCACTTAATCATCCCACAATGGCTGGAGACCTATGGTTAAGAACAAAAATCAGAAAATAAAAAATAATAGTGGTCAGGAGGAAGTAATCAAATTTTAACATTCACAATGGATGAATATTTTCTATAGACAATGATAAAAGTTTTATTTTATTATTAATAACACTTTAATATTTTAAGTGTCTCTATGTTAAATCGGGTCTATTTGTTCATTTAGTCTCAGTAACAAATGTAGTAACATTTGAATGAGGGACATTTTGATCTGACATTGTGCTTTAAGTGAGCTTCAGTTAGATATACAGGCAGTTAAAAAAAAAACAAAAAACCAACACTTCAGGGCTGGGCACCGTGGCTCGCACCTGTAATCCCAGTGCTTTGGGAGGCCGAGGCAAGATGATCACTTAAGCCCAGGAGTTCAAGACCAGCCTGGGCAATATAGCAAGACCCCTGTCTCTACACAAAAACTTTTTTTAAAAATTAGCCGGGCATGGTGGTGTGTGCATGTAGTTCCAGCTACACAGGAATCTGGCAGGAGGATCACTTGATCCCAGGAGTTCGAGGTTACAAAGAGCTTTGATCATGACACTGCACTCCAGCCTGGGTGACAGAGTAAGACCTCAAAGATAATAAAGTATGTGTAATAACACACATATTGTATGTATGTGTGTGTGAAGATATACTGTTAAAAGCCAGAATACAAAATTACATTAGAAGGATTACTATTATTTAAAACAAATTAAAAAAAAAAACCACATACCTTCTCTCCACAAACATAAGCATTGGCTAAAAAGCTGGGAGGAAATATACCCAAATCCTAATACTATTTGTGGAGGGTGGTAAGATTAAAAACAATCTTTTTCTTTTTCTCAATTTTTCTGTAATGAGCTCCTATTTATTTTATAATGAAATACATAAATTTAACAAGCAAGTGAAAGAATGATCGAGAAAGGTATTCCAGGAAGGTTTTTGTTAATATTTCTAGAACATCTGTGAGATAGAAATCCTTACTTCAGGTTATCATGTATTTTGCTACCATCATTTATCTAATCTTTTACTTCCCATTGAGTCATAATTCTAGAATTTTCATAATGGGAAGGGCCACAGAAACACTGAGTCTAATCTACTCATTTCACAGATGAAATCAATAAAGTCCACCCAAACAGGATATTTTGATTATGCCTTTTTTCTTCTTCAAATAAACGAGAGTAAATCACGTGTGAAGCAGAGCTAGAAACAAAACCATTTAAAATGGCTAACTCAATTTTGTCTAGTTTTGAAGGTGTCATAAAGCAAAGGAGCGAGCAGGCCTCATCTGGGTGAAGAACTCCTGCTGCTGTCCTGGAGGCCTGGTTTCCCCACGTTTTCTCACGTCACTAATCAGCAGAATCCTTGCTTACATGATTCAGTGAAGTGATGAACAGGGTCCCGTGAGCCAGACCTTTGTTCAGGCAGATAGCTCCCAGGAGATAAAGCATATTCCATCTTACAGTGCAATCAAGAGGCAAACATGTTTTCCTTCTAAAGCAAGCCCTGAAATCCCAGATATGATCATTTCTCTGTGACTATACAGCCCAGAAACACACATGTTAACATGGGAGTTCTATAATCAGCCACAGGGAGAATAAGGAATGACAGTTATTTACAAATTTCAAGATTTAAACATAAACCATGACCATTTCCTAAGTTTTAATATATCTTTAACCCCCCAGAGAGAAACAAATCCTGCATCTTTATAGTTTTTACACAAATATAAATCCACACAGATAAGAGGTTTACTGAGAGAGGCTTAAAGTGTTCTCTCTCATCCAAATTAAATTTCTTCTATTCCTGGAGATTCTGTTGAATCTAGAAAATGCTCTGTGACAGGAGCATAGTAGTACAGAATTTCAGAAAGAGACATATACAGTACATACATGTCAAGTCTCAGTAAGAAAATAATCAACTTTGATTGCCATGTACGAAGTGCAAAGTATCCACAGAATAATGCAGACATGTATGTCATTATATATAGAAATTGGCCATCGACTTACTGTTTGAGATTTCTTCTTTTTCTTTTTCATTGACCTGAAAAAACCTTGCTTCTCCTTCTCCTTGAGTTGTTCAGAATGACTAATATTTTCAGGACTTTTCCTAAATGAGAAGACATTTTTATCACATTGATCTTTCAATCATTCTCTTGACATTTTGTGACAAATATAATGAAGACTGAAAATGCATGACACCAGGTTCAAATAGCCATAGGAATCAAGCATATGGGTAAAGAGCCTCTAAAAAGCACAGGAGGAACTGAATCTAATCAACCACAGTTAATGATTATCCTTTGGCACAGGCTCAAAATAGCAATTTGAGCACTATTACAAATGATCTGTAACTGTGCTGCAGGACCATTTTCATGCTGTTGAAAACCTCAGAATTAGAGATTTTGAAACAAACATGGCTTAAAGGATGTCTTTTCTATAACTCTCCAAGGGAAAGAACAGAAACATTTCCAATACCTTCATTTTTCTATTTACTCTTTCAAAACCAGGCTCAACAAGTTTATTATTAGTGGCTTGCCAGGACATTGAACATAAAAATCAATGCTACTATAGAAATATTATAAGTAAAAGTAAAGATTGCCTGAAACTGGAAAAATCCTACTTATTAAACCTTTTATCTATTTATTAAAACTAAATAAAAAATCATTAAGAAAAAAATGTAGACACGATGAATACTTTAATACAAAGCACTTATGAGAAAAAAAGCTTCTGAAAATACTGACATTACACTTAATACCACTGACATCCCCAGGTGTTTTAATAAAAATAGAAGACATTAAAGACAGAAAACAGGACACCTTGGCCTCAAGTTGGCCACTTGTATGTTAAAAGAGGACCTACATTGCTTAATCCAATCTATAGTCCTTAAAAAGCATCTGGTGTTATTCTTGAAAAATGCACATTTCAGTGGACTCTATTTTAAATTTGGATAGCTTTATAGCCGTGGAAAACCATTTTCTCAAATAATTGGATTTCTTCTATCAGCTAGTCCCTAAAATAAAGAGTGGTGGAAATGTTGAAAGTGACAGTTAATATTTATGATTTTAAATACCCAACAGTGATGAAGTTACTAGAATATCTAAGAAAATATGAGCAAATCAGCATTCTGCCTTTGATTAAATATGTGTGATGGCAGACTATTACAGATCCACAAGATAGAAAACACCATGAAGCTGCCAGGTGCAGTGGCTTCACACCTATAATCCTGGCACTTTGGGAGGCCCAGGCAGGAGGATCGTCTGAGGCCAGGAGTTCAAGACCAGCCTGGGCAACACAGCGAGACACTGTTTCCACAAAAAAATAGAAAAAATTAGCCAGGCATGGTGGCGTGTACCTGAAGTCCCAGCAACTTGGGAGGCTGAGGTGGGAGCACTGCCTAAGCCTAGACGTAGGTTGCAGTGAATATGATGGGGCCAATGTAGTACTCTAGCCTGGGTAACAGGGTGAGACCCCATCTTTAAAAAAAAGAAAAAAGAAAAAAAGAAAACAGCCTAAAGCTTTATTAAAAAGGAATCATATCTTCACAAAATATTCTCTAATATAAAGGAATATTCAAACTACAATATTAAGTGAAAAGAGCAGGATTCAAACCTTTCTATATGGGATGAGTCCCAATTTATAAAACAAGATATGTATGTGTGTATATACATGCATTTTTTAAAAGGCAGGAAGAAAATAAGAAATCTTAATAGCTATCATATCTAGGTAGTAAGATTATTGATTTATAGTTTCTTTTTAATTTTCAACAGCAAATATGTGCTATAGATATAATAAAATAGGTTTTACAAACCACAGTAAATTTATTTTAAAAACCAAAACTTAAAGATCAAAGATAACAAGGAAAAAGGCTGTGAGGTGGGAGAGAGGGAGGGAGAAGCAGTAAATAAAAACCATGATTGCTCGAAGGAGCAATTATCATTTTTTTCTTAAGTGTTTAGCCTAAAACTTAATGGGAATACCATGGGAGTAAAAATGCATACTGTAGGTCCAAGTGTTCCTGAAACCCATTAGGACTTGCAATTTTAAACATCACTAAGAAAGTTCCAAGATATGAGGTCAAAGTTTTGTAATGTAACAGAGCTGATAAAACAACTAGTGTTGGAACTCAGAATGATATATTTATAACTGTGAAAGCTAGAAATATATTTATAATTGTGAAAGTTAGAAAAACTTCAGTCATGATGGAATGCGTGAGAATGGAATGGTGAAGAGTTAAAAGATCCTTTAACACACTAACTGCCACACTAGAAAAAATTTCTTCCTTGGGGCCAAGGTGGTTTATTACAAAAATAGAATAAAAACTTCAAAAACAAAACAATCCTTTCTAATTTAATGAAAAAATTTATTATTTTTAAAATTGTTTTCTGTGAGAGAGTTAACTTGAAAAATAATTCTTGTGGTTCCAAGGTGAAGAGGTGTGTGAGTTACATATGCTTCATGAGGCTCTGGGCTTGAAACTAGTTTGAGTTAAATACAATTCACATGGCAGTTAATGTGTTAAATACGGTATTACACTGTTAGGAAAAACACTCATCCATCCCAATGACAAGACTGGGCCTAGGCCCTGGGAATTTGGTCAAAGTTTCTTATGACAAGTACTTTTGGGATTAAGGAGATGATCCTCTGCTTGGGGCCTAAAGACAAACTCCAGGCCATGGCATTCAGTCACTTGAGGTTGTCAGGGAACAAGAGTGGAGCCATGTAGTTTACTGGACTCACAAAAGCACGACTCTTGAGATCAAAAGGAGCCTCAGAGAGTGTCTAGTTGAACCAGCAATACTACTTTTAATATTCTATAGCTTCTAGAAGTTAAGGAATTATATGCTTATGATATACCTTAAGTCCTTCCACAATGGTGTCTGCACATAACGCAGAAAGCATAAGAAAATATTCAAATTAACGAGAAGTTTTTACCAATCAGAAGGAAAGTCTAACAAAATATCAAAGGTGTACTGAGGGTAAAAGTGCTTTCTGCCAATTCAGCAAAGCTTTAAGGGGAACATGTTCATCATGACTGCAACCTCAGACTGCGAACAGGCATTATTAGAAGAATGCTAATGCTGGCACAAGAGGAAATGAAGGCTTGAGACTCAAGTCCTAGGAGGAAGCAGGATTTTGCATGGGAAGAGGGGAGTCTATCCAGGATGACATGGAGAATAAGATGAAAGGGAGAGGCTAGGGAAGGGGAGGATAACGAAAGGAGAAGCAAGAAAAATAATGTAGTGTCTGCAGTATGGATATTGCAGTGTTGGGTTCCTAAGACACAGAGAAGATGGCCCATGACTCCCTGCAGGGTCTCTTCAAGAGGCACTACATAAACTAGAGCACAGGTGGGGAAGGAGGAATGATGAGGACAACATTTTCAAGCTAAGGCCAAGCAGAGGTGGTAAGGTTAAGATCCAGGCAGGGAAAGATCCCAGATGCCAAAAGAAAAAAGGAAATAAATTACTTTTGAACCAGAGGATGAGAGCTAGGAATGAAGTGTTAGTATGTGTGCATCACCAAAGACAGAAGGAAGTCAGAAGAAGAGAGGGATTCAGAGAAAAAACAAAGCAAAAGCCAGAAATATATAAACTTAGGGAATTTACAGAAGGGAGAAAAGGGGGTGGGGAGAGGGAGGGAGAGGGGGTGGGGAAGAGAGGTATATATAGAGAGATATGGAGAGAAGCTGGCTGGAACAAAGGCACTTGAAAAGCTGTGTGTTGCACAAAGGAATGAAGACTAAGCCTTGCACATTGACAACCAGCACTGAGCCAAATGGGTAAGAATACGGCTGGTTGTTTCCTCTGTCTGCGCATTCCAGGGCCTGCAATCCCACCAGGTACAGATAGCAGCTTGGTGCTGAGTGGTGCAAAGAGGAGCAGTGCAAGAAAAGGTTAAGTGTGGGGGGGCTCACATCAATCTCAGAGACAGAGATTTGAGAAGGGCCACCCATCCAGTCACCTGGAACATTATACAGGGCAGCAGTTCTGATCAAAACAGTACAGGAGGAAGGGGATGAGAGGAGGGGTAAATAGGCACCTTCCCACAGTCAGGGGACTCCAGTGTTACCTAATACAACAGCTATTTCCATAAGGGGTCAAGAGGAAAGAGAGAACTCCAAAGACTCACCTAAATAAAGGAATTAAAATCAACTTAATTTAAGTCAACCAACATTTGCTGAATACTTTTTTGTGCCAGACCCTGTGTTAGGTGTTGAAGATACAGAGAAAAATAAAACAAGGTGTCTAATCTCACTCAAGCAGCTCACAGACTTCTGGAGAGAGTCAGAGGAGACCTAGAGATTTGACAGCTAGGGAAGGAGCAGGCAGCAGGGTGACACTTCAGGGCTTCAGTATCATCCCTCTCTCTGGGAGCACTGTGGAAGGTGAGTTGAAGAGGCGGGGGGCATTACTCTGTGATACTTTCCCTGCCACCTCCCCTACCCTGGCAGTGTGACTAGGGTGTGAAGAGAAAGTCAGTGAATAATTCTATAGGAGTAATTCTGTGAGTTATGGTGACAAGCAATTAAGGGATACCAATAAATTCATAACTTTAAAAGAAAAAAAAAGACTGGGATTTTTTTTGTATGAGTTATAGCAATTCTTCACGTACCTTAACTAGCAGGATTTCCAAGTAATTTGGTTTACTGTTTAAGCGTCAATTTTTAACTTGATTTTGATGACAATCTTTCTAAACACATTTATATACGTGGCCTTTTAAAGCCAAGTAGAAGCTGCCTATTTTATAAATATACACTCTACATGGAGATCTGTGATATGTATCATTTTCCCACCAGGGGTCTAAGGAAAGAAACATCCACTTCTCTCCATAGCTATTGCTCAGATCACTCTCCTTCTGCATGCTGCATTGTTACCTGGGACTATTTCTTGCCCTGACAATCTCACTGCCAACTGCTGGAACTGGGCATGAAAGGAGAGTAAATAGGCTCTGAGTGAGGGTGGAGGTATTATGCTATTAGTAAAGATGATGAATCTGAATGCATTAACTCTTATTTTTCTTGTTCTGAGATTTTTTCACTTATCTCCTGGTTCTCAAGTGGGTTCTAGATAGCCGAGAGGCCAGAATATCAGCTGTGGATATATTATAATATCTATTTATTATTTTAAAATATGACATAGCAGCTTGATTTTTCCACTGTAAGAAATGTGTACAATGTAAAAATATTCTTTTCCCAAAAGAAATCTGAAGTACTTCTATCAAGGAGAAACAGACTGCCCTTAGGTTAGTAATAAATTCAGAACAGCAATTCATTATGTTACCAAAACAAGGCTCTTTCCTGTTTTTGTAACAATTATCAAATGTGCATTTCTCTTCAGGATAAAGAATATGATGAAACCAATTAGAGATCTCGTTCAAGAAAAAAATCAAGAACAGTCAAGTTTAATTAATGACTTAGACTGACTTAGATCTGATGCAGGAAGGAGCTGTGTCACACAGCATTATCATGATGGGTAGTGGGAGCAAAAGAATAGAACCAAGTCATCGCTGGCACTATAGAACTCTCTCGTCTCATGACAGCAATACTAGAGTAAGGATGACCTGATGAAGACTCAGCATCCCAATTGTGCATCTGTTTCTTTTCAAAACAACTGTTTTCAGGTTTTTACATATATCCATGTCTAAATAAGTTCTACTAAAACTGACTATAAAAATGACAGAAACAATACAGTACTAATTTTGTCTATCCTACATTTGGAATTAATTTTGATCTGATCTACCTAATTTTCATAGGACTAATGTAATCTGTAACTGTACTGGCTCTTTTAAACCACCACCACTCCATTATGCAATGACAAAGAAAAAATTCCTTCTGTACCTCTGTATTCTCACAATTTAGACACTATTCCCATGGCCTGTCAAAGCCACACCTGAAAATGGTCAACACTGGTATCTCAAAGGAGCTGTACTTGTGCTTTTATGTTAATGCACATATCTTTTCTACATAGGGAGCACAAAACACTAACATGGAAGAACACACTAAAGTTTATCAGCACAGTTAAGTGGAGGGGAAACACCTGACAAAAGGCACACTGAAATTACATGACATTAATGATAATAACTGTAGCCACCGACATTGATGAGCCCTTATGGAGCCAGGTACTGTTTTAGGTGCTTTTTATATATTACCTCATTTAATTATCACATGAACTTTATGAGGCAGGTGCTACTCTTAGCCCTATTTTACAGATGAGGAAACTAAGGGACAGAGTCACAGGGCTAGAAGTTGCCATCAATCAAAATATCTTATTGCCAGAGTCTATACTCTTAGCCACTGATGTTAAGACTGTCATTTTATAAATAAGACAATGAATGTAAAGTGTGCTCATATAGAAAAAGTGTACAGCTTTAAAATAGTCATTTATATTATTGAGAATAATCAAGTAATCACTATAGGCATAATAACACTAAAATCTTGATATAATCCTGCCAACAGTGTCCAAATTGTGAAAGCACACAGGGTCAGGAACACTGACATAAAGCCTTCTGTGACTTCTGGCAACAAACATCAGAGATGGACTCTCTGAAAGACTGGTATTATTCTAAATTCAGTGTATTACAGGGATGTCTCATTTTACTCTGTTGATGGAGAACTTAGTAAAGTTCTATGAAGCATATATACACACCCTTCACATCTAGATTCTGGGCAGTCTTTCTAGGCAGCTGAGAACAAAAAGTCTACATTATTACTATTTTTTAAAAAGTCCTTACTCCCCAAACAGATCTGCTAATGGAATTTGATATATACTATAATTTTCTCCCTAAATTTTTTATTAGATATGACACAAAAAGATAAAAGAGTAAGAAAAGTTGTCATATCACTGGAGCCTCTTACTACCATTATGCTTTTATGGTAGCATAAAGGGATGTTCTCTTATTTCTGTCTGTCTTTTTTTACCCTGAATTAAAGTTAGGTAGTATAGAGGTGAAAACCATGAGCTTTGGAGTCAGAGCCCACTTAGTTGTGAATCCTTGGTTCCCTCCTCCATGTTACTGGCTGTCCAGCATCAGGCAAGTTCCTTGACTTTTCTAAGCTTCAGTTCAGTTCCCTTATCTGTAGAATGGGAGGAATCTGTACTTCAAAGGACAATTGTGATAACTGATTGAGACAATGCACAAAAAGTGCTAAGCATAGTGTCTGTACATGGTTCAATGTCAATAAAAGGAGACTGCAAAAATCACCATTCATGTCAAAAGAATGGTGAGATGTATCAGGGGTTTAATGATTCAGGAGATATTTTTTATGATATTTAATATAAATGATGAATTTGAAAAAAAATTTACCAATAATGACAATTCACATTTTCCTTATCCAGTAATCTCTCCTGAGAAAGAAAGGCCTAGCAGGAGAAAGAATGCTAAAAAGTTCATCTAGAATTTCTTTGAACTCTTAAATCTATAATTAGAAAAAGAAGAGTAAAAAACAAACCAAAATACTCACCATGGATCGAATGCTGGTTGTCTTTTAGAGTGGTTGGTTCCAGAACTGCTCTCTGATGGTAGGGAAGAAACTCTGGTTGACACATTATTTTCGTGGAAAGAATTGTCTGGACGTGGAGATGGCACTGAGTAAGGAAAAAGCCAGTCACTGATGTACTCTTTTAGTCAAAGCAGTTCTCACATTATTCTATTGCATTTTCTAACATAAATAAAACAAACAGATAAGTAAAAATCCTTATCTGCACTTCATATAACCTGTGTTTTCTGAGGGTGGAGGCATTCATTACAGGGAACATTCTCCCTCTCCCACCAATTACCACATTAACCTACAAGGATTAGTTAACACCAGGCAACAGTATGTATTCAAAACAGAAACCTGACCTGTTAGCTAATAAACTGAAATTGAATAAATTGAACAATATATTGAAGAACACTGGAGGATACTTTCAAATATGACTCTCATAGTCATTACCACCACCCCTTGCCACTGTTTTGACATTCTTTGAAGTTAAGGCTTTCTTATCACGGACCAACACATAGACCAACAATGTAAAATGTACTCTTAGTCTAAAGTAATTTTTAACAATATGTGTGCTGGAATGTACAAACTATAGTTTAAGCGATGACACTTGAGATGCAGTGTCACTCATATATTTTTAAACTAAATTACAAAGAAACTTGGTTATTTCTACAAAAATATTTCTCTCTAAATTCTTATTTCAAGAATAAACAGAAAGACAAATATAATGTTTGTAGCCGGGTACTGTGGCTCACATTTGTAATCCCACCACTTTAGGAGGCTGAGGCAGGAGGATTGCTTGAGCCTAGGAATTTGAGAGCAGCCTAGGCAATAGCAAGACCCCATCTCTATAAAAAATAAAAATTAGCCAGGTGTGGTGGTACAAGCCTGTAGTCCCAGGTACTCAGGAGGCTGAGGCAGGAGGATCATTTGAGCCCAGGAGTTTGAGGTTGCCATGAGCTATGATGACACCACTATACTCTAGCTCAGGCAATAGAGTGAGACTCTGTCTCAAAAAAAGTATAAGAGTAAATACTTTTCTGGTTTTTTTTTTTGGGGGGGGGTTGGTTACTAACTTTTTATGTCAATTTCTAAGCCTGGTCACAATCAAAATATACTGCAAATTTCATCATAAAAGGAATATACAGACTGTGTATCAAGATAAATAATACCATTTCACTTGACTCTTGACCAGTAGGAATGAAAACAGAAGCATTCTGGAAACATCTGTCATTTAAATGATATCACTAAATCTTCCTCTAGGACTTAGTAGTATCACTGAAATGACAAATGTCTCCAGATGTTTCATCTATTTAAATATTTTCTATTTCTGAACTTTTTAAAATGAAAATGTTCTACTTGCCAAACCCTGAATTGGATTGTGAGATAGAAAAATGAGGTGTTTCTCCAACATGAGCCAATGTAATTCATTTGCAATCAAAATAAAACTATTTCCAGAGGTCAAAGACTAATTAATTTAAATCCCATGAGCATTTTATATTAAAGTATATTCTCTAGATAGCTATAGAAATGACACATAAATGGTACATTTTGGAAATAAAATTACATTAGTAGAAGAAAAGGCTTTTACCCATGTCCATTTTAATATTTTGGTGTAATTAATTTTAATCTGAATTAAAAGTTTAGTCCCATAAGATTCTAAAGTAATCATGTTATCAGAAAAAAAAAATCCATTAAAAGGCATATTTAATGCATTATGCTTGTTCCAAAGGTAGGGCTGGAAGGGAGCAGAGTAGCCTAATCATTCAATATATGTTTAGTCCTGAATAACACTTTTATGCATTTATTTAGCTCGAGTTTCTAATTAAAATGACCAAGTTGTTCTCCATGGCCCCCACCCAACAGTCACCCTCAATTCCTGCCCCTTTCCAGCTGTCCTCCTAAAACAACAGAAAGAGTGAGACATAAGGCAACATGGGTGCATGGGGTCACAAAATGCCATGGTGAGTCTTCTAGGCTTTGCAAGGTTGAGCCTCCTGACCCTAGGGCCTTGCTCCCACCCTGTGGGCTTGCTGTCCATTTCCCCACCAGGGTACTTGCTGTGATTCCCAAGGGTTTTGGTCTGTTACTACAGTTACCCAAGGGTTGCCTTTCTCTGCCAATGTCTCCTAAATCCATACAACCCCAAAAGTAGCTGCTTTAGCTGTCTGTCAGATATCAAAGTACATTTTTAAGGCTGGGCCAAGCACACTTAAATTTTTTTTTTAATTCAATCAACAGATATTTATGAAACTGTGTCAAGCAGTATGCTAGTCAATGAGAACAAAAGGAAGAAAAGATGAAGAGAACTTAGTATCTTTGAGGGGCTCACAAAACCTTGTGAGAGAGAAATGCAAACAAAGAATCAGTGCAAGGTGGTCAGTGTTCTATTAGAGGCATAGATAAGGTACCATGGGCAGAACAGAGAAGGAAATGCTTCACTTCCTCAGGCTGGGCAGAGAAAACATTACACTGGAAAGGACCTTAAAGAAAGGAACAGAAACAAGCTGTTCCAGAAAGCGGAGGGGTGCAAGTTCCACAGGCTGGGCACCATGGCAAGGGCCAGATGATGGAAAGTCTGGAATACCATCCTTGGGAATTCAGATTTTGTCCTGATGCCAATAGGAAGCCACCAAAGGCCTCTTAACAAGTGAGAAAGAGGGGATTAGTGGGGGTAATCAATTACCTTGCTCTATTCCCCACCCCATAGCACTTAGTACCTTTTACTACTCTATATAATTATTACGTTTACTGTTGGTCTCTCTTCCCGAGAACGTGAGTTCCATAAGGATGGAGATCTTTGGCCGTCTTGTTCACTGACCTGTTCTAAGCTAGAATAGTGCAAAACACTCAGGTAACATCGATAAATAGTTTATGGGTTGATCGAATGAATGAATGGTATGGTCAGAACACAGCTTCAGAATGATCATTCCAGTGACTGCTTTGATGGGTACCTTGGAGATAGGAGACCAGTTAAGATGCGACTGAGCCCAGTGAGAAGCCAGGAGGGCCTGAGCTTAGACAGTAGGACCAGAGACAGGGAGAACTGCTGGAAGGTAACAGCGTAGGTGAGAATGCCTGAAGTCAGTCAAAGCAGTGAAAATGTAGGGGAGGGCCCTGGCTGGAGGTGTATGAGGAAGGGAGGAGAGAGGGTACCCTGGTGAATCCCAGAGGCAGGCTTACCTCTGTAAAAGCTACCAACTCTCCTTGGAACAGGATCATTGTACAGATGTCTATTTTCTTTGGGGGCTGTACCATCATCAGAGTGTGGGTCATGGTACACTCCACCCTAAGGCAGGAAACAAGTTTAGAAAAGTTAAACCATAGATTGATGACAATGTTACCTATGAAATTAGAACAGTGCCTAATCAGTCTATAATTTATTTAATTAATGATCTTTTAAAAAGACAACTCAGGATTATGTCATGAGAAAAACGACTTACTTTATAAACCAGTTCAACTTATTGGTGGGAGATTGGGTATGAATACATTTTAAAAGCTAGGCTGTAATAATGGTGTTGAATGAACAAACTTTACACATTTTATTGTAAGATGCAGCAACTCTGAAGAATTCAGACCTCAGACTTCTGACGAGCGTGGAAAGAAGAGGTGCCTTCTCTGGAGGACTCTTTGACAGATGATCTCGCCACAGTCATCTCTGGAGGGAGTTGTTCTCCAGGCTGGAAGTCAAATTTAAAAGGATTTATAAGAGCATCCCATTCCTAGGGATGAAAATCATGGTCTTCATTTGGTATAACTAGGACTGCAACCAGCTAAAATAAAAAATGTTAGTTGGCTAAAATACAAATTATCCCATAAAAGAGTGAATCATCTGATGAATGTAAAATAAGTCAAATTTCACACAGATGGAAAGTGAAATTCTCATTAAAGTTAAGGCAAGCAGGGAATAAATTAGTCTGAAAATAGTTCAATTAATTATTAAAAACAAAAAAATTACCTCTCTCATATCTAGACAAGTCATCGTCATTGTTCTGAGCAGCACTCTGATTAGGGATTCTATTAGTTAATCCAAAATTTCTCTAGCAGATTTTAGGTTGAGTTCTCCAAAAAGAACTGTGTTGATCCAAAATTATTTTTCATAAAGGACTTTATATGGCAGATTCAGATGAAAATAAATGATTTTTGAATGTATCAAGGGATAGAATAAGTCTCTTAATAATTTTTGGCTTCAAATTCCCCAACTATAGGGAATTTATATGTGCTTAAATTCTCATCTTAATATTTTAGGATAACAGCAGTTAAATTTCATGTGTTTTCTTAGGCATAATCAAGACGGTGCTCATCTCCAGAGATGCTACCACTACTACCTATCTCTCTAAGGAAGTGAGTCACAAGCTAAGAACAGCACTCGGTCCACAATGGTGTTCACTGAGGGGGAAAAATATAGCATTTCCTACCCTTAGAAAAAAAGACTAAGGAACAAAATTACCAAATCATTAGGAGTTAGCTGCATTGCATATCTATATATTATCCACAGAAAGAGTATTACCCCAAGTCTATGTGATATCTAAAAAATATTTTATTTAAAATTTAAAGTATGATTCTCTTTCTCCCCCTCACTCTTCAAATGTACTCTGAGGAAGGAGTCTGGGCAGGAATTCATCCAATGTAGCGTTTCTTCTTTCCATTTTATGACAAGATCTCATTTGATTTTAACCACCGATTTCACTTACAAAGGCCTCTAGAAAAGTATTTTGAGAAAATAAACTACTAACATCTAGCCTAAACTCAGTAAGAATCCCCGTGCTTTTGAAGGTGGCCACAATACTTTGCGTGAGAGTGCTTTGCGTGAGAGTGATTTCCAAGATTCACTCACAGCTTTAGTTACTTTTCAAGCCTTCTGCCACCTTTGTGCCTTTAAACTTGTACTTTCTGGCAGTTCGGCACATGTACCGCCTGAACTGGACTTCAAATTCAGTAACAGTCTGATCTGTGTTTAGCCCACAATAATTGTTTATGATTTGTTTATGACCACTGTGTTCATAAAAATGCTTTTTCAGAAATTCTCAGAGAGCCATCATTCATCCTTTCTAAGTTAAACAGCTTGTTGTTTTTCTTACTTCTCTATTGTATGCTATGTGTAATGCTAGCACACTTTACCTGGTTTTGACCTCCATCTTCCACCTAAGGGCAGCTGCCAAGCTCTAGGCTCTGGAGGTTCTCTTCTTTCTACAGTGACTCAGGAGCTCCTCTGCCCATCTCTACGACTCTGCTTATGGCCTTTGCAAATGTGCACCTCCTGCCCTCTCCTTTCCCCTGGATGCTCAACTGTCTTTTCAGCCTCTTACAGCAATCCTCTGCTTAGAGGCCCAAGGTCACTCCAAACTCAACATGTCAGCAAGATACAGTGGAAAGAGGCTAGCCTTGGGACTTGGAGACTGTCTCATAATCCCAGTCCTATCCTGAACTAGCTGGGTAAACTTAGGGTGACTAACCCAACCTCTCTGAGCCTGAGCATGCCCACCTGTGAAATGAAGGGTTGAATTAGGTGACTTCAAAAACCCTTTCTTCCACTCCAAAAAAGATCTCCTAGAAAAGAAACCTTGAAGTCTTCCTTTTTCCTATATTCAGTCCTTTAATTCACAAGTTCTGTTGTTTCTACTTCTAAGAAGGCTTTGAGATCCACTCTGTTTTCTCACTGGCACTGACTTAATCCCAAACATACTCTCCTCACCTCAGTCTTGGATTATGGCAAAAGCCACTGCAAATCTTCATTTTTCACTCCAGCAATGTGGAACAAGTTGCAAGCCACAAAACACATCATCCCATTTAACGTCTGTCTCTACTACTTTCCTTCTTTTTCCAATGCTCTTTTCTTCCCTCTCTTCAAGCCTCTTTCCTGATGTCATGGTCACATTTTCCCCAACCCTCCTTGAAGTCTCTACTCAGATGCCATCTCCTCTGGCAGCGTCCCACAACCCCCCGCCTGGACTGCCCCATTCCTCTCCCCTCTTCGGTACACAAGCATGCTTGTAGCATAGCATCTGGAATGCAACCTCATGGTATCAGAACAACCCTATTGGTTGGCAAGTATCCCCCACCAGCCCATAAACTCAAGAGGACAGAGACCCTATTGTTTTCATCTTTCTAACTAGAGTCTCTATGGTACCTAGCTCAGGACAGGCCTGAACACATCTTAATTCTTTAGCCATTCAAAGCTTGTCTATACATCTTAGCCCAGAGAGAACAAGACTTTAGTTGCCCCTAAAGCCATTTCTACCTGCTCCTGCTCACAATGACCTCTCCCTATTCTCAACTCCTATTTATAGCCAGTGCCATATTAATTTAGGACTTAATCATTTCATTGTTATCATGTATAACTTAGCCCTTCCTAACAAAAGATAAGTTTCCTAAGGGCAAGAACCCTCTCAGACTCTTTTGAGTACCTGAGAACATGTAGCATAGATAAGGTGCTCAGTGTCTAAGTAACAGCCACTACCATCACAGAAGCAGCAGTGATAACAAAAATTTGCTAGACACTTACTTGCTAGACACTGGGCACAGGGCTTTATACATGAAAGCATTATATTAAAAACATGTTCTGTTGTAAGAATACTACCTCTTTTAAGCAGGTATTAGTTCTAGAGCCTGACAATCAACAAGATGGAAGCACCATGCTAAAAATATTGCCTTGAGATTTAAAAATAATCCAAAAGACTGAAAATTAACATTTATCCTGGCATAAAGTTAAATTTATCTATAGTTTTGGATAAATTAAGAACTTTTAAATTCAGTTAAGATGCTGAGTAAAGTATTAGCAAAAAGTTTTGATTTTAGCAAATGTGGTTTGGAGAGATTAGAGAAAATCCCATGAATTCACACTGAACTTTGAGAAAACTAAAAACTAGCCCATGTAACTGATAACTTCTATAATAAATCAAAATGGGATTCTCTCAACAAAATATGCCGTAAAGGAACATTAAGAAAGGAAACATTACCAAAACCAAACTCTTGATTATTCAATAGTTGATCTAAATCATTTTTTTTAAAGCAGAGATTAGTTCAAGTATTGCTTCCCTAAATTCATCCTATCAAGAAAAGCACAACCTCCTGCAGTAGGGAAAACTGCCGACTGATCTTATTCACATCTCTTGCACCACCTTCCCCTAATGAGCCACCAGAATCGGACGAGGTGCTAAACTGTACCTGGGGTGATAAGAGTTGCAAGCTGTTGGCTCTGGCCGCCATCCCTTGCCCTGTGCTCAAGCTTCCATCCAAGCCTTTGGCTCTCACTTTGTCCCGGGTCACATACATGGAATGCCTATGAGGACGCTGCTGAGAGGAGAAGGGGCTGGTGTAGCCTAGCCCATAAGAAAAGGATTCATGGGGTGCAGATAGCGAATGGGAATGGCTGCTGTCCATGTGCTCAGGCAGCTTCAATTCCTCCATTGTTTTAGAATGCCTGGTTGTGGTTCGGCGTGAGTCCAGAGTACCTTCATTCCTGTTATTTCTCCCTGAAGGGCTGAGCAAAGTTCTCGTGTCGCTGTGTCTGGTAGGGGTTGGGCTGGTGGGAGAGTTCAAGTCCAAGCAGCTGGATGGGAAGTACCTACTGGTATTGGACTCTGCAATCTGGGCCCTGGCTTCGGAAAGGTTGCTCACAGACTTGGAGTCACTCAGTGCCCCATGGCTTTTGGCCTTGGTCCTGTAGGAAGGACTCCTAGAAGACTGGGGAATGGTGTCGATATAGCTATGCCTACTCTGCTTTTCACTGGGCTGTAGTGTACCAGCTTTGCTCTGAGAGCTTTCCATAAATGAGTGTCGGTTCTGCTGAGATCTGCTGCTTGACTTGAGGTACTTCGTGCCTGGGCCTTCTGAAGGCTTTGGGTCAATATTAAAATCAAACTCTGTTTTTGACTTGGCTTCTTTTGGGCTGAGAAGGTGTGGTATGTTGTTGTTGGTGAGATCTTTGCTGGTAGGCCCAGGCTGGGTGCTTGCCTGGTAGGTTTTGGTATGCATCGGGCTAAGAGTAGCTCCAGCAAGGTTTCCATTTAGGAAGCTTTCATTGGCAGGGAGACCTTCATCAGCCCGGGGCAGGCCCACACTCAGGTTCTGGATGTCCTTGCTGTTAGATCTGTGGTGAGATTGCAAAGCAGTACTTTTGCTGGCTTGGTTTCTACATTAAAAACAAAAGAAGTATATCAGTTTCGCTCAATAGCAGACACATGAAAAGTATTATGTTAATAAGAACAGAACACATATTCAAAATATCATACCTCAAAGACTAAAATACATTAACTCTTCCAAGAATGTGCCTACCAATAACAAGTAACCTATCAATAAGACAAAGTCACTCTGCAACTAAGCACTGGCCTTGATGAAGTTATTCTGGCATCCTTAAACGCTCTGCTAACTTGCTGTCAACACAGTTTCTAACTGATGATCTGGGAAAACATGCTTCCATTATGTTGGTACTCATATGAGTGTTATAAAATGCCTCCTAAGAAGAAGAGAGCTGAGCTATAGACGAATTCTTTATAACTCTTTTGTCTGCTTGAATGTCAAAAGACAACATTTAGACTTGAAGGTTACAGTGTTCCTTGAACTTCATTTTTATTTGTGAAACTCATAGCCTGCTTCAGAGATATATATTCATAGCGCACACACAGACACCAATGTCTTTTTTGTCTTTAGCCTGTATAGTCAAAAATGAGAATTCTAACAATTTACTCAATAAAAGTAAAACAAATTTAAACTGTCTAGTGAGGTTTGTTGGAAAACATGATGATCAATGTTTATGTTTTAGACAAGCAGCAATTACTTGGGGCTCTTCAGATATCTCCTTGTACACCAAACAGTAATGTGCCATGAACTGTACAGACACCTCCATGTACACTAAACAAAAACCCTGTACTTATACTGGGTCACAGGGATCTGAAAGAGTTAATTTCTCTCCAAAACACACCATTCTCTTCTTCATTTCACATTTCATTATTCCAAACCAACTGAGGCCTTCTTTAGGAATTAAAGCTTCATTTCCTACTTGATTTAAAATACAAAATATAAATCCAAAGGAAAGCCTTGTCTGCTATTTGAAAGCTGAAACTGACAACATGACAAGGTCAGTTTGTTCTACTGTAACTATACAAAGGACCAATTGTAGTTTGGGATAGGTTAGAATGCTTAATAAATGAATAATGATTTATACAATTCTCTTTTTACTATGCATTCAGAAAATTTTGCTGCAAATCTTGCTATTGCTAAAGATGGTTTGATTTGGGAGAGCTTTCTCGATCACATACTAATTGGAATAAAGGTCACTTTTTTTCCCCATGTAGAATGGTAATGGTGAAACTATGCCTTCCCATTTGCCCTGTGAGAATCTGAGTGCTCTGGCATCAAATAATGTAAGGGCCCTTTTTCTAGCCTATCTTTCAGATGGTAATCTCTACCAGAACTACCTGAGAGTGTCAAAAAATATCTGATATCAAGCAAGCCTATAACATTATGGAAGGCCCATTTCCTCTCACTAATCCCTTACAGTTAGGTCATTAGAATTGCAGTATTAAATTAAGGACACAAATATGAGCTAACTAAATAGCAAATCTCAGACCTGGAAAGAAATTACAAAGAAAGAAAAGTTTTACTTTCTGTTAAATGATGTCAATGGAGTCTATCCTCATATCAGTAAAAGTCTCTGTATTCTAAAGGCATCAAGTTTTAAACCTTAGAGTTTGTCAACTTCTATCTTGATAACTAAAATATCTCAGCAACTTCTCAAACGCAAATGATCACAGTCTCATCTACAAATATATCTAAGTGTGTTGATTATTCTCCATTTGCCCAACCCCCAATCTAGTATCCACCCCTCTTTGCTCAGACCTGGGCCTCAGGAGCCCCATGCTGCAGACTGCCTTGCCCAGGCTCCCTAGTTGGCTAACTTCCGGTTGAACTTAGCACTGGAAGGCATCACAGGGCAAGAGGAGAAAGAAGTGGGGATGCCTTTCCTGCTCCTTCCTGGCATTGGCACCCTGACTCAAATTGTAGCTGTTTCTCTGCAGATGACAGCTTCTATGGGGTGACTCCTCCTGCCCAGCTCCAGATCTCTCCCTGGACTCTCAGGACCTTCATTCACTCCCCTTTTCCCTTTAGGTTTAGAGATAGTAATGTCAGGGAGATAATATGTGCAGGTGCTGGGAAATGTCCTAAACTCACAACCAGAAAATAGCAAAGACAGCTGCTAGAACTTTTGGAGCTCTTAGAAACACTGCTATAGATGTTGAACACAAACCTACATGTGATCTTTGGAAGAACATATTCAGAGCAACGTAAGAGAGACAATTTCTAGCATGAAAAGGGAGGCTATAAATTTAAGGTAGAAAATTTGTCAAAGCTTTAGGTTTTCCATAAATGTACAAAGAGTCTAAACTGCTATTCTTAGCATTTCTGTCTCAGGATTAATTGGAAGCCATTCAGCTTTGCGCATAATTCCTACGTAGAAAGGGCGTCATATTATCTTCAAGCTGGAGCTCTGCCAAAGCACAACAAAAAACAGCTTCAAGAATTCCATGGATCTCTTTGACACACAACCACAAGGAATCTGTGGTTAAACTGCCAACCACTTAAAAAATTTTTATGTATAAACCCCTTTCTTAAATGGTTGGCTGGATAGATAATGTACTTAGTTACCAAAAGTTATAAAAGCAAATGTCAAAGACGCAAAGCTCCTTTTTGAGGGGGAAGGCTGGCAAAACAGGGCTGGTGAGAGTGGCAGTGTGGGGCAGCTGAAGCACTGTCACAACATGTCCGAGGTGAGCAGAGCCTCTGGAGAGCCTGAAGGAGACAGGCAGAGGGCTAAGTAATGCAAGAATCTACTGCCTCTCCTATAGAGAAAAGAACCTGGAAGACAGGGTATATGCCAGTGTGTGTGTCTCCAGGGACAAGGCAGGGGAGTATGTATGTGGCAACAAGCGTGATATGGTGCTGGCAAGTCTGAAGGAGCCACAGTTTGTATTGAGATCCGATCTAGAATTACTGTTCCTAACAAAAAGGGCTTCCATGGAATAAGTATGGACCACAGATAAGTGTGTCGAGAAAGCCCTCCGAGGCATGTAAAATGAGGTAAGATCATTCCTAGAGAAAACATTTAGGGCTTTTTCCTGTAATATATTCAATACAATGTCAAGACCTAAAAATTAATTATTCCTGAGATTTTTATTTACTTATAATTTCTATTTACATCTATTGCAAAAGAGGACTTGGGAGGACTCCTCAAAGACCCATACAAATCTTATCTCCTCTGTATTCCCTGAAAATACCATCAACCACACACATCCTCCTTAACAGATCCCTAGAGAAGTTCCCCAGGGGGAGCCTCAGGTCTCCACTGGTTAACTCCTAGAACTGTCTTAAGTGAGTCACTAGAAGATAAAATACATAGGCTCCCTTTCATCGCACAGGTTGTGCCACTAATCACTACAGCACAAATCAAAAACTTATCAGTCGGCCGGGCGTGGTGGCTCATGCCTGTAATCCTAGCACTTTGGGAGGCCGAGGCAGGCGGATTGCTCAAGGTCAGGAGTTCGAAACCAGCCTGAGCGAGACCCTGTCTCTACCAAAAATAGAAATAAATTAATTGACCAACTAAAAATATATATATACAAAAAAATTAGCCAGGCATGGTGGCGCATGCCTGTAGTCCCAGCTACTCGGGAGGCTGAGGCAGTAGGATGGCTGAGCCCTGGAGATTGAGGCTGCTGTGAGCCAGGCTGACGCCACGGCACTCACTGTAGCCTGGGCAACAAAGTGAGACTGTGTCTCAAAAACAAAAAACAAAACAAAAAAAACCTTATCAGTCTACTGAACTTTATATCACTGGGATAATTTTTCTTTGTAAATGTAAACTAGAGGAGCTAAGTGACAATTAAGGTGGAAGGGAGACAAAAGCACCTGAACTGTAAGTGACCCCAAAGATGACACAGGAATAATCTGAACCTCCTAAATGCAAAGGAGCAACCAAATGATGAGTACGATTCCTTGACTTAGTATACTAAAACCCTATGGAAAGAAACAACAAATGATGAAGCCAGCTGAAAGTGGTCTATAAGATATGAGGGAATCAATAACCAAAAACAGTCATTTTAAAGAATAGTAAGCAGTTCTAAAACACAACCACACTATCACAGTTAAGGAGAGCAAACATAGGATAAATGGTTATCACCAATTTATGGATGCTCTCTCAGACCTAAAAAGTACCAGGTCTTGAGCTTTCAAAATTCCAATCTGTTAAAAATTGTTCTATATGGAGGGAACATTTAGGGGTGGGGGGAGGGTAGAAAATTCATATTCAAAAAGCTTCATATTAAGAATTATTTTTTTCTATTTCTCTTGTAATAGCAGATAAGAGAAATTCTTTCCTAGCTCACATAACATAACAAACCCAGATGACAAGATCTCCTCGGGAAACGAAGACAGGGAGATTGTGACTAGGATGCTGTCCTCCTAAACACACAGCCAAGAGAATCCAGGAATATCAGGTCTGAAAGACAACCTGACTGTACAGTCTAATCCTGTGTGCGTGTATGTGTTCTTTGGAAAATAAGTTTTTTAAAGATTATGTTGAAAAATCATATTTAAAAAATACCAATTTTAATTACATCTTTGCTATTTCCATGTTTTATGGAAAATTAATTTCTCAGCTCAATGATTAAAAAGACAAGAGCAACAAAAACACAAGACCCCTCTGTACAGCCAGATCTACTTGGTTTAGTCGCAAAGATTACCCAGGTACCTTCTCACCCACGTGTGTTTGGTATCCTCTTCTCCCTCCAGGAAGCCCCTTGCCCTTCCCTATCTTTCTCCCTCTAGGCATCACCCCAGGGTCACACTTACACAGAATCTTCTAGCTCTTGAGGCTGTAAACCCCCTTACATGCTAATCCAATGCTACCTTTCCCAGGGAATGCACAGGTTTCCATAATATACTTAGTGAAGAGAAAGTCTTTAAGACCCACACAACTACTTAATTGTAGTTCTGAATCATGCAATAAGCATAAGGAAGATATTTTTGAATAAAGAGGGCTTTCCTTCTTTTCTCTAATTGTATCATTTAAGCAGCCGCCTCCTCCACCTACTTGTAAGACCAACACTGCATCTGTACTTCCTTAAAAGGGAATATTTACCTATTAGACAATGTGCTGCTTTCCACATGGTAAGGTTTTCTTTTTGCTGACCTTGAAGGGGAACGATCCAAAAGTCTCTGGGTTTGAAATGTAGGGTGATTCAAACACTGTTCGGTCAAGTATCTGTCAGCTGGGTCCAACTTCAGTAGATTCTTAGGAAAGAAAGTTTAGGATTGGAAAGAACATTACAAAGTCATATTTAAATTCTAATAAAAGCCTTATTTTTCCTTTATCAAAGAAATACATGATCATTGCCAAATATCTATCAAACACAGTTCAGGAAAAAAAAATCAAAACAACTATCTAAATCACCTATAACCTCACCATTGTTGTCCCCTTGGTATATATCCTCCCAGTCCTTTTTTGAATATCATATATACATATTTTCTTTTATAAAATCTGGCTCATATTATACATACAAGTTTTGTATCTTGCCCTTTTCACTTACTAATCAAAACATTTTTATAATATAAACATTTAAAATATATTTTAATAAGTATATATTAATATGAAAGAATACATTACTATATATTCTTCATCTTTCTCTTGTTACCCAGGTACCCAGTTCCCCTTTGTAGAGAGAGTCCAAGATACCAGTTTCTTGTACATCCTTCCATAGGTATTCTGTACATATCATTATCTGCTCTTTTTATTTTACACATACAGTAAGTACTGTACACGGAATTGTCTGCACTTAGCTTTCTTCTCACATGTCATAAGACCTTAAGAGATCATTCCATATCAATAAAGAGTCTCAACTCTATGGATGTACCTTAGTTTGTTTTTTCAACAATTCCCTTAAAAATAAACATTCAGATTGTTTCCCCTTCTTCTATTATTACAAACAATGCAGCAACGAATTGCACACGTTTTTTTTAAATGACTAGAAGTTTGTGGTATGGCCATCCCATGATTTACTTAACCAGCCTCTTGCTGTTGGACATTTAGATGGCAGCCACTTTTCACTATTTTAATTAATACTGTGATGAACACCCAAAATCTTTGCATACATCCATGATCTCTTTCATAGGATAAACTCCTAAAGATGGAACTGGTAGGTATGTAAACTTTTAAGGATTCTTATTTTGTGTGTTGCCAAATTACCCCCTAAGAAGGTTGTCTCAAATTATACTCCTGTCAACAACTGTATGAGTCTACCAATTTCCTGCAACCCTCATCAACAACAGGTTCATCAACAACCCATTCTTTTTAGTACTTATAAATTAGATATTTTGAAAATGATATTTCACAATTGTTTTAATTCACATCTTTGATTACTAGTGAAGTTGAATATTTTTATGTTTATTGGTTGCTTATATTTCTTCTTTTTCTATTTCTCCATCTATTGTTATTTGCAAATGTTCTTTATTCATTAAGGTATTAACCCTTTGTTTTATGTTGCACATATTAGATTCTTTACAATTAAAATGTTTTTTCCAATATTATTTATATTAGTAATTAGACAATATTTTAAAAGGTAAATCACTACTAAAACTAATTTTTATTTACAAATTAAGCAAATATGTAAAGAAACATAACCTAACACAACACAACACAATAGAGCACAACAAAATTTGACTCTTTGACTGACTGCCATTCTCCCTCAGAGGAAGGGCTGAATATAAAATTGCAGCATTCAAAGCCATCTCTAGGGTCATTTTCATTTGTTTTACCCACACTTAAGCTTTTTGTGACCCACTGTTAAACAATGAGAACAAACTTATATTTGCTCCCAATAAGCCAGACTTCAATTTCAGACAACCACCTTCAACCTAGCACCACAAAAAATTTGAATTCTGATCCTACCACATACTGAAATACAGCTGGCCCTCCATATCTGCAGGTTATACATCTGCAGATTCAGCCAACTGTGGACAGAAAAAAAAATCCCCAAACCCCAATACAACAACAAAAATACAAATAAAAGAACAATATAGTGTAACAACTATTTATGTAGCATTTACAATGTATTAGGTATTAAGCAATCTAGAGATGATGATTATATGCAAATACTACCATTTTATAAAAGATACTTGAGCATCTGTGGATTTTGGTATCTGAGGTGGGTCCTGGAACCAGTCCCCTGAGGATACCAAGAAACAATCATATTCCCTTTGGACCAAAAATTCTGGTTATTGAAACTCAAGCCACTGATTTCATTCAAGTAAAACTGACATTCATGTTCATTCAGATAATTTTGAAATTATCAATTCTTTCTTCTTCCTTATTATAGAACAAAAACTGTGGCAGTGTATAAAAATGATTCTATTCTCATCGGTAGTTAAATCAGTTAACATTAAAATGGTTTTGGCCAGGCATAAGGGCTCATGCTTGTAATCCCAGTACTTAGGTAGGCCTAGGTGGGTGGATTGCTTGAGCCCAAGGAGTTTGAACATATCGAGACTCCCTCTCTATAGAAACTAAAAATAATTAGCCAGGCATGGTCATGGTGGTATATGCCTATAGTCCCAGCTACCCAGGAGGCTGAGCCAGGGGGATCACTTGAGCCCTGGAGATGGAGATTGCAGTGAGCTGTGACTGCAGCACTGCACTCCAGCCTGGGCAACAGAGTGAGACCTTGTCTCAAAAAATAAAAAAAAACCAAAAAAAAACCAAAAAAAAAAAAAAAGAGAGAAAAGGAAAAAAAAAAAAAGATTTCAACTGTGAGATACTAGTTAAAAAATAAAGGAGTCAGTCCTTGAGTCATCTTTTAAATTAGAAGTACTTATGACCTTTCAGAAGTATCTACTGGCATTAGTGCTATTTTATTTGATACCAACAGTAGAAATTACTGTACAAAGAGCTACATTTATATTTATGACTATAGCTGTTAATTTTCAAATTACTTGAAAGGATGAGGTCATTATGAAGAAAGCATGACACTTACTCAGTAAATAGTTTCTAAAATTCAGTATTTGGAGGAAAAAAAAAACATACTTTTTTTTTTAAGGAGACAGGGTCTCGTGCTGTCTCCCAGGCTGCAGCGCAATGCCATGATCATAGCTAACTGCAGCCTTGAATTCCTAGGCTCAAGTAATCCTCTGCCTCAGCCCCTCAAGCATCTGGGACTACAGGTATCTCCCACCATGCCCAGCTAATTTTTAAAATTTTTTGTAGAGATGGGATCTCACTATGTTGCCCATGCTGGTCTCCAATTCCTGGGCTCAAGCCATTCTCCTGCCTCAGCCTCCCAGGTGTGAGCTACCATGCCCGGCTTGTAATAATTTTTAAAAATTAAAATAGAGCCAGTATAATTATTGTAGCTATTCTTAAAGTCATTATGGGCTTGAATTAATTCCAGTGACTTGTTTTCTCACTAAAAAGGCTGATATGAACAGATGTAGGATGAGATGGCCATTTTATGTACTTATATCTGGACAAAATTATCAAGGCAGCTTTAGGGAATGGCAAAGAGAATATTTCTTTATAAAAGGATAATAGGTGTTTTTCATTTTTCAAATTCATTTTCAATAATAGCTAAAAGAAAAAGGAATGATTCTACTTATATAACATTCAATAGCAACAAGGCAATAATAATCTTTGGTGACAGAAGTCAGAAATGTGGTTTCTGGGGCTGGAGAAGGACATGGGCATAAAGGGGTCATAAGAAAGCTTCCAGAGTGTTAACAATTCTCTATATCTCCATCTGGGCAGGGTTACACAAATATATTTACATTACAAAAATTAACTGAGATATAGACATAATTTGTGCACCTTCTGAATGTACATTTCAATAAAAATATTTACTTAATGTTAAAGAAATCTGACAGTAACTGTATTAAATAAATAGAAATTAGAATGTTTAACTTCCAAACTGGTAGAAACACAGAAAGATTCAGGTTATCTTTCTACTTTTATCTGTGCTAGCTTTTAATCAGTGCTAGCTTTTAAATCAGGTACCATGATGATGTTTGGTAACTATATTTGGTAATGATTTAACCAAAAAGTTTTTTTAACTAAAAAAAAGACAAAAGGCAGAAAATATGAAATTACATTTAATTTCATTTCTCTACTTTATTCTATTTACATTTTAAGTTACCAAATTACTAAGGCTCTGATCAATAAGTACTGACTGTGTGAAAGAGTGTATTGAAAAAATCTAACTAATTTAAGTAATAATTTATGCCTAATTAAACTGAAAGAGCTGTGAGGATTCTTTTTCTTGGGTAGCATTTTTCAATCTGTGTTCAAAAGAACACTAATACTTTAAAGTTTTATAAAAAACAGTATTCAGTATTTAATTAAATTTGGGAATTTTGGGCGAGACAGAAATTCTTCTTTACTGTGGGATTTCTGAAAGCCTTTATAGGTTAATGAATATTGTGAATCTCTACAAAAGGTTATATGGTATGTGGCCTTTCTCAAATGTCACACCCCCTCCCCCACCTCCACCCCCACACCTATTCACACTGTGTTCCCAGGAACACAGATTAACATAGTTTAAAGCACAGTGAAGTTCTGAAAATGCTGCTCAGAAACTGCCAACTGTGCTAAGTATGCCTTTTAAAGGCTCTATGCACTGTGTAACCTCTACTGACTTTGACAGCTGACTGAATGGGCATAAAATAAAGTTGATCTATTAACAAGCGTTCTTTGAAGGTCTACTATCAAACAATCAACATTTGCTTATTTATGCACTGGCTGGCTGCAGTGAACGCTGGAGAAATATGAAAAATAATTCTCACTCAAGGGGCTGATTGCCTGTCTACTGGGGAAGAAAAACTTGAATAAAGAAATTTGAGAATGTTTTTAATAGTCCAGAGCAGAAAGACTCTGGACAGCAAGGCTAGCACAAGGAGGAACACTCAAGCCACAGTAGTAGCAGTGATCTTGGGATGTCTAAAGCAGAGCCCGAAAGAGTCTGGCAGAGAAGAGGCCAAGTTAGAAAAAGAGAAGAGTTAGGTTCACTGATGAAGTCTGTATAGACTCTGGAAGGCCACAAATACCATGTAAAAAAAAAAAAGTTATAAAATCTCTATTCTTTCAATATTAATTTTAAGATTTGTTTTAAAGCCATATGCCCGAGCAGCTCTTGAGTGCTAATAGATTTTATTATTCTGTCCATTTTAGGAACGTAATTTAGGGATCTTGTGGTCCTGTCTAGATAGATGGACTATGATGATACCAGATCCTGTTGCAATTTTAAATAAATTACATGCCTTTTAACATGACATAGTCCCCCATTATTCACCATTATACATTTCCTAATGAAACATTTCATTCATAAAAGTGTGCTATGGCCACATGTAGACACAAGAGGATCCACAAACTGAAAGACATTTTATACAGATAACATCAACTTGTCCTACCTTCATGAGGTCAAGCAGAACACTATTTAAAATTCCAAGGTATCTTCTCTCCAATGACTGAGGATGGTTAACAGCTGGAAACTGTAAGGACAACATGACAGTAATGTTAGCATTTAAGGAAGGATGTGTGTGTGCATGTGCTTGTGAGTGTTGCAGAAGGGAGCAGACAAGCAGAAGTTACTGCCCTAGTGTCAATCTAAGTCAAATTCATATTTGTATATTACTTTTGGTGTCTATGTATTTTAAGTATGGATTAATAGGACTGGGTATTAAATAACAGGAAGACTCACAGGTGGAAGATGATACTTAAATCTAGGCAGACAATACTGAGACATGTAAAAGAAACCATTAATAAAATATAAAAATTTGAAACTGTATTTTACAGTTTATAGAATACTGTCTGCTTATAGAAACAATTCAGTTCTAATACAGTATATACAGAATTTGCTTCTATAGACTTACAATTACTTCTAACAGTAATTGGGGGATTAGCAGAGGGGATATGATATCAAAATTCTTATATCTTTTTCACAACATATTATTTACTCCTGAAAATAGAGAAGTAAAAAAAGAGAAAAAGGCAGTGAGTGGCTGGTACCTAAAAGGTCATTCCAAAGTAGAAAAAGTGAATTTCAATATATGTTCTATTATTGCTTTTAACATACTTTTGTAATGATCTGTTTTCAAATCCTTCCTTTTTGTAAACTGGAACAGAATACAAACATAGGCTCCTAAATTAACAAATGCATTTTTAAATAAAATGAGGTGAAGGGGTCAAGTTTATTTGGATATTGTCCTTTCCTCTGCCAACACACATTCTGCAGTATCTCAGGGGACGTTAAAGCTTTGGGTAATGTGTCTGACAGAGCCCAGTGCCATGTACTCCTTCCAAATGTGAAGGCTAGTCTGCTTCCAATATATATTTCCTTTATACCAACATAAAAGCATTTCAAAGTACTATAATCTCTAAATATGCTAAATAAGTGGATGGGAGGACTAATTATGTAGTGAAATTTCAAACAGGGTATTTAAAGAGTGATTTATGACATCATTCCCACACTGTGTTTGGTATGGCAGTAGACACAGAAGATGGGTTAGACTTAAACCTTGCTCTTTAGGAATCTGCTGTCGGGTTGAGAAAGCAGTCAGTATTAAACTGTGCAGCCATAAATTCTAATTAAAGCTCAGAGAAAGGAGAGACCAAGGTGGTTTGCAGCTGTGGAAGAAATGAACCCATAGGTAATACCTGAACTGGGTTTTGAAAGATAAGAAAAATGTGACGACAGAGAAAAGTAGGACAGCACCTTCCAGATAGAGGAGTAGAAGGAATAATATGAACTTAACACAGATGCACAGGCAATAACCTAAAACTGATTTCTGGAGGAAGTGATGCTATGCAAGGCATTTTAGATATTATTATTCTTATTTTAGAGATGAAGAAGATGACAATCAGAAAGTTCAAATAACTGGTTCAAGGCAAGTTATATAATTAAAAAGCAGAACTAGTATTTGTACCCAGTCCTGTGATCCAAACCCACACTCTTTCTAAACCTAGGTGCCTCTCCTAAGGGAAGTTCCTTCTGATGTTTTTAGAGCATTAAATATCAGCCCAAAGAGACAGACACCTACCATACTTCGATAAAAGACCCTGTACTGGTATATTTTAATTAATACTTTGCTATGAGATCTATCTTATGCTACCAGATGCTCCCCACCCTTTACTTTTTGCAGGAGTAACATTTCATTGATAAGAAAATTAATGTTGAAAAGTCAAAAAGTATTTGAAGTATGACAATAAAAAATGACCAAGCAAATTAACTTTAAAAAATTAATTTATGTGCTTTTCAATGAAATCTACTATTCTGAGATCATTCCACAAATAGTCAAAACTCATAGAAGTTTAAAGTATATCCCAATCAGTAGCTTATTCTGTTTTCTTTCTTAATTGCTTGGCCAATACAATACAGTGAGAGTGAAAGTGCCTCTTTACTGAGCACCACGTGCCAAGCACTCGCCAGGGCATTTTACATGTATCATTTCAGTCAGGCAGTACTTCTACTACCATCATTTTACACAAGAAGAAGCAGAGGCACAGGATGGTGAAATAACTTCCTGAGGTCATTCAAGCAGTAAATATGGAGCCAGGCATTAACTTCAGTAGTCTAACTCCAGAGCTCATGTCCTATAATATGAGACATCAATTGTTACTTTTTCTAAATAATGCAAACCATTAGAGCAACATCTTGTTAACTTTCCAATCTGTACACAATTGAATCCAAATGCACATCACATTGGACTGGTTACTGGTGAGTCTGTGGCTCACAACACCTACAGTTTACACACCCTATGTGCTTAGCTATCTGTCCCAGACATTCTCAAGTAATATCATAAAAGAAAACCTTTCCCTCAAAAGATGTTATTAAGCCTCCAAAGAAATTAAACTTAGTTAAAATATCACAAAGACTTTCAGACGAAAATGTAAAAGTATTAAGGTTTATAAAAGTCCAAGTGTTATGGAAGCAGCAATTTCCCTGAAGAATATTTGTAAGCAGCATTGTCATATATTGTCTAGCATTTTATAGATAATATTGTTTAGTGAGGAGGACTGTGAACAAACAGAACCACAGAGAAATGAGGAAAAGATATCCTTCATGTGGCCTATCTAATTCAAATGCCATTCATTCTTCAATATCCATTTCAAATTTCAAATGCACCATAATGCCTTCTCTAATGAATCCCCAACTATGACTTCCAGCTTTCCAGAACCTTTGATACTTTTCATGGTCTAAACCATATTGAGATATACTAGAAAAGAGTACAATACAGTAAAGAATATAGTACTTTATTATATGCCACGCTTTCTTATAAATTATATTGTTTTCTAATTACTTTATGGATGAAAGTCTTAATTCTTCAGCTAGTTTATAAGTTATGAAGGCCAAGTACCATGTCAGATCTGTTTATACTCGCTTCAGAGAATCCAGCATAGAGCTTCATTATCCAGGCCAAGAGCAAGTCAGCTAGCAAAGCAAGCTTAATATTCCAACAGTTAGTGGTAAAATCCTGAGGTCAAATATTTAATCATGAGACACTATTCAACCTAGCAGGCACTATTCTAGGTGTGCTACAAGTAAAATGGTGAACATAAGAGTTCATTTTCTCAAGGGATTTATTAGTCCAGTGGATATGCATATTTGCAAACAGCTACTTAAAGGAGAATACAATGGGTGCTACAAAAGAGATATGATCAGAGTGCTATAGGAGCACAGAAGAGGGAGTCACCTGTTCTGCCTGGAATAGTCTAGAAGGGCTTCACAGAGACAGGACATTTGGCCTGAGTCTGGGGGAGAGAGGAGGAGGAGACGGAAGTAGGGTGAGTGTTGGCAGCATTATAGAAATGAAAATGCAGACTGCAGAAGCAACATGTCAAGGAAATGGTGAGAGGTTCAGTGTGGCTGAAGAGTAGAGGCAGAGGGTAAAAAAGGGTGGAGAAGAGGCTGGAGGGCTCAAAGCAAGGGGTCTTCAGTGCTATCCTAAGGAATTTAAACTTCACCAGCAATCCTGCAGAGGTTTTTAAACAAAAGGGAGACAGAATTAATTGTGTAATTTGAGAAATGTGAACAGATGAGAGATGAAGATGAGAGATGACAGATGAAGAGAGAAAGTTTGAGAGATCAATTTGGGAGTGGTTGTCAATAGTTAGGTAAAGGTGACAAGGTGAAAGAAGCATCAGAGATGATAGAGAGAAATGGAATATAGTTGAGCTTGAATGGTGATAATACAGATTCTGGAAAGCTAGATTGGTTCAATTGCTCCTCAAATGTTTAGTGAATGCCTACTAGATGTGCTAGGTTCTGTGTTAGATGCTGGAAATACAGTGAAAAAACAGTTGATTTCTGCCCTCAGTGAACTCATATTCTAGTAGGGGAGGACTAGACAGTTGATAATAAACAAGTAAACAAATAGACAAAATAATTCCATACTGTGATAAATGTTATGATAGAAAAAAGAAGGGTACTATGGCAGAGAGAGACTAGGAAGGAGGTGGGGGCACTATGTTGGGTGGCCAGAGAGAAGGGGCATTCTCTGAGTTGAGATTTACAGAATAAGGAGGAGTCACACAAGGGAAACACCTTCCTGGGAGAAGAAGCCATAGGTCCCAAATCCGTGAAACTAGAAACACCTTGGAATATTTGCGGAAGCCAAAGAACAAGAAAGGGAAGTGTGGTGAATATCTGGAGAGGGAGGAGGATGGAGACAGGTATGAGATGAGGTCAATGAGCCACAAGGGCCTGGATTCTGCAAGGTCTCACAGGCCATGACAAAGAATTTAGATCGATTCTCAGTGAAAGAGGAATTCATTAATTATGACAAATTTTATTCCTGAATATAATAGATTTTCCTTTCTGCTAGACTGAGGGCAAGTCCTATTTACTGTCACATTTTCAGCATCTAGTATGACAAATGTTCAATAAAGTTGAACTAACCTGTTGAACCACATCTGCTGTTTGTACCCTAATTAATGGTCAGAATTTGGTGAAATTTTGGCTTTCAAAAGCAAAAATAAAGGAAAAAAAGACAAACTTGCCTGAGGTAACTTAGATTTGTAAGAATGAGAGAAAGCAGGAAGTAGATAAAAGACACACTGAGTACACCTCTATCCATTCATTTTGCTCATATTCACCAAGCCCAGCAGGAATTGGTTGGGACTGTGTTGGGCTCTCAGGTATGAGCAGTGGTGGTCTCCAAAGGGAAATTAACTGAGGGCTAAAAAGTGGAAAAAAAAAAAAGGTGCTTTGCAAATGGCAAGGTAACGTGGTTTGAGAATTATGCATTTCAGAGAAAGAAAGGAAGTGGTGGTGAGATTATTTTCCAGTTCCACAATGACCACCAATTGACATGCTGGCCCAAAGGAGTGGTTGAAAACTGAAAAAGTCACTTTGGGGGTAGATGGAAGAGAGAAGCAACCTTTAACTCCCTGGGCACACCAATAAGGTACCTCTGCAAGTTGGGTACTCCTCATTTGGGGAAAGTTTATACTTTCTAAGATGTCTTTTAGCATATCCTCAGAAAACACGTTTTGTACAATGTACTGGTTTGAAAAGAAGATTTGCTATTTCACTGTCAATGGACAAAAACATATCTGCTAGAATAAGAACCTTTAAATCTGCAGAATGCAAGTATCTCATGACCCTCAAATCACTTCAAATATGTTTGCTCAAAGAAGCTGTAGCCGTTCATACATTTTGTATCTTTGTGGGGATACTTAAGATTTTGGAAAAGAAATGGTTTAAGATAACCAAAGTTTAAAGTATAAGAATGCATATGATAAAAAAGATTTTGAAAAATGGGAACTTACAAAATTAGAAAACACATTAGCAGCTCCCACTTTCAAACTCTGACCACTTTTTAAATTCACAAATATTATATAAGATTCAGAAATAAAATATTATAGTAGGGATTATAAACATTGTAATGGGAAAGGGAATAGTATTCAAAGGATAGTTTAACATTTCATTATGCAATGAACAAAGATTTAAATACTGCAGTATTGATTCCATTTTGGGTTTTAGCAAAACCTCTTACCCGGAGACCATGGAAACGAGGATTACTGTAGAAGAGCTTCATCTGCTCAGATGGAAGTGGTCCTAGAACCTTCTGAATAGTAAAAAGTTGGTCAATTTCACTTTCTCCAGGAAATAAAGGCTGTCCATCGCTAAGCTCCCCAAGAATACAGCCCACTGACCACATGTCTACGGACTTTCCATAAGGAGCTCTGAAAAGCAAAGGGAGAGATTACCTTGGCAACTGAATATAATGTTTTAATAATTTCCAAATTATTTTGAATAGATTCATGATTTAAAGCACATTTGTGTATTTAAGGAATTAAAAAGAATCATGTGAATAAAAGGAAGTACAGCTATCCAAGTAAAATTTCAGAACACAAGTGAATAAACCTATGCTAATTAAGCTATCAATTTAATAACAATTTAGTATCATTAATTTGAAATCTGTTCATCTCTGGACATATATTAAACACAAATGGCTTAATAAACTCTAATTCAGTACACATATCTGATGAGTAACACCTCACCCGGGGAATGAAATGTTCCCAACAAATGTATTTTCTAGGTAATGATCCTTCAGCTCTCTAAATGTCAAAAAGTTACATCTTACCCCGTTTTTGAGTTCAGTATATTAAAATGTACTATGTATTGACTTATATGTCTTCTTAAACAAACACTGAATATTATTTAACCTTTGATTACTTAGCATTACAATTTCTAATAGCTAAGACTGTGTTAAACTCTATCGTATTATTTAATTGAATATAGGGGTACCCTATTATACCAGGCTCTATAATAGCTATTTCCCTAAAAAGCATTTTTTCAATTTACTTGGGGGTTTATAGCTCTCTTCTACGGTCTGAGTTTACCAGAGGGCTTAAGGAATGTTGCTGTTATTAACATATGGAGGTTATACCCTTAAATCAATTTATGGCAGATTAAGTAAGAATCAACATATATATGTTTCAAAGATAAATAATCCCAGCTTTAAGAAGGGAAAGCCAAAATAAAATATCTGAAAACAATATGGAATAAAATTTTGGAATGCCAAAATAATATAGTAGCAATACAAAACTTTTAACTATAGCACGATTAATGTTATACAGAATATATTTCTATGATAATAAATCATTGCAATAATAAATCAATATTTCATTTATCTCATTTGCGTCCCACAAAAACCTAAAAATCATACAAGGAAACTTCATTTAGATCTTTTTGGTAGCTTGTTGGGGAGAGAAGGATACTCATCTTTCTTTTGCATCTGTTTGAGAGACAGAAAACTTGTTCCATAGTGCTAGATGGAGAAACCTATGGAAAATCTCCACATCCCTACAAGTTATTTTTCTTTTGTCATCTGATTTGAATAATTTATGTAGCTGGAACCACTTTGAATGTCAAGGACAAAGCCTTGAGAATATATAAAAATGTAAATTCTTAATGTATAAGCAAATATCAACTGATTTCAATGGGACTTTTACACAAACATGGTTCTTCAACTAGTACTTGACAATCACTTAATTAGCAATATTCACTTTAGCTCTAATTACTTGCACTGTCCCCATCTACTTTTGGCAGCTACCACACATCTTTAAACAAAACCTCACTTTTCCTATAGATACTATTAGGCAGCAAATACTCTGAAGATTCACAATAAGGCTGTCCTCAAAATGAACTCCTTGGGACCGTCTTAGAAACAAAATCATATTATTAATATAAAGAGTCTTTCTACCATACTTGAGCCCTTGGATGGGGTTCTAAGAAGGACCTACTTCATATTCATTTGTTCATTCTAACAGTGTCCAGTAAATTCAAATTCCAATCCTCCCACAAGGAAATGAACTATGCATCCCAGTGAGTCCAGAAAGGTACACAGAAGAAACAAACACAAAGAAAATCAATCCTAATTCCAAGATTAACAATTAGCACAGAAATTCTAAACTCTGTCCACAAAGTTGAAGAGGTAATAAAGTGACTGACTAATCACCATTTATGTCTCAAGATAAAGCAAGGTTTTGATTTCAAAAAAATTAGTAAAGCTTTCAATAACTGATGCCAATAATTCTTATAGGCTCTAGGTCAGCAACAAATCAAGAATTACCACCAGATGGCTAGTAGACACTAGAAAATGAATAGTTAACATCAAAACAAACCCTCAGTCAGTAAATTAAACATGTAGTCATCATCCTCTTCAGAAGAAATCCAGAAATTTACATTGTTATATAAAAAGTATCATTTAAAAATTAAATTCCTTATGTCCTCCAGATACATGTATAGCACACTAAAGGTAAGAGATGAACCCTACAATTTATGCATTTGTCATCTTGTCATCATTAGACATACCACTATGTCTAATTTTATTTGTACAGCGTAACTTCTTTTCTCTCTCTTTTTTTTTTTTGGAGACAGAGTCTCGGTCACCTTGGGTAGTGTGCCGTGGCATCAGCATAGCTCACAGCAACCTCAAACTCCTGGGCTCAAGCAATCCTCCTACCTCAGCCTCCTAAGTAGCTGGAACTACAGGCACTCGCCACCATGCCTGGCCAATTTTTTATTTCTATTTTTAGTTGCCTGGCTAATTTTTCTATTTTTAGTAGAGACGGGGTCTTGCTCTTGCTAAGGCTGGTCTCCAACTCCTGAGATCAAGCGATCCTCCCACCTTGGCCTCCCAGAGTGCTAGGATTACAGGCATGAGCCACCGCACCTGACCTAGAGTATAACTTCTTTCTCCACTCTTCGGTGGTCCCAAAGAAGGAACTATAATCTAGAGAAAATAAGAAAATACTACAACTAGGGTAGGTAGAGAATTATTAATAAAACTATATGATGGAGAACAGGACTACAGGCTCCTTCTTTGGCTCTAAAGTTGTAATGTGCCAAATAGAAAAGAACCTTATCAGAAGACCTTTGTCTGGTGTTAACAGATGAATGAAAGAACATTGAAAGTGGAAGAATGGGCATAAAGTAGATGAATGTAGAGGTGTTACTGAGAAAATCATCAATGCAGTACTAGTTTGAAAAAACATTTATAATCAAACTGGATTTACATTATTCAGAAGAAAAATAGCAATTGGTTCAATATTTACCCCATGTGTCTGGAAAAGTGGCTGGACTTAAGAGATGCTTGATAAGTATTTTATGAATGAATAAATGAATGAAAAACGATAATGTGTCAAACTGTGTGGACATTCACATTCTTAATGTGGAAGACTATTAGCAAAGATGGCTGCAGTAATTTCTTCCATTTCTGTACGCATGCCACTTCGTTATGTGGCTCTGCCACTTCTCCCATTGAGAGGTGGGATTTATTTCTCCATACCCTGAATCAGGGATTGGGCATGTAATATGCTTTGTCCAATGAGGCAAAAGCCATGCAAACAAAGGCTTGAAAAGCACCTCTGCTTTGGGGCTTACCCTCTACAGCACAGCATTCTCCCACTATCACATGAAAAACTTGGACTAGCCTTCCAGAGGATGAGTCCCCATGGATCAGACATAATCTGTCGCAGCTGAAGTACCCTAAACCAAGCAGCCCACAGATGACCTGCCAGCTGACTGTAGCTACATGAACCACTACAAGAGAGACCAGCAGAAGAACCATCCAGCCAAACTCAAATTACTGACACCCAGAACTGTGAGCAAATAAAGTGGTTCTTATTTCATATCATTAAGTTTTTAGGTGGTTTGTTACAGTGCAATATATAACTGATACATTTAATTAAATGAAGTTCTTATTTTCCATAGATGACCTCAAAGCCAATGATATAAGATCAGCAGATGTATACATGCCATTCTATTTTAGGAAAGTAACTCACCCAAGTAAGAGTTCTGGGGACCGATACCATCTGGTGGCCACATACTCTGTGTAATTAGCATTATTGCCTTCCGACAGATTCCGAGCAAATCCTAAAAGATAGCAAAGCCAAAAGCTGTAACTTTGAAAAAGAAGTAATAATTTCGTGTTGGCAAAATATTTCTGTGCTACTAATACTTTAAAAGAACATCAAAAGAACATAATGACTGTTATTGAATGGGTTGTTTATTAATAGTATGCTTATTATCTCAAAAAGTAGGGTGTTCATATGTCATTTGAAATATATACAATGTATTTACTTACAAATTTAGTCTCTCCCCTATGCTAAAGAAACTCATGTTTTCAAAGTCACCTCAAGCTTTTATAACCAATCAGAGCATACTTTTAAATCAGCTTTCCCTCAAAACACAAATCTTAGGAACAAAATGAAGGCCCTATAAGAACTAAAAGTCAAAGTAGCATATTGTCGATGGTCATTAATTCTGCTATGTGGGACTTAAACAGTGTTTGTATTTCTATTGTTGCTGAGCAGTGCCACCGATTATATAAACAACTAACAGTTGGCAGTGATGGAAACAAAGCAGGCCAAAATTACTATCATTTCCTAACTACAGAGAAGCATACTAGAGGTATCTTAATTACCTTATAGACTCTACCACTACTTTTTTCCCAACCCTTTCAAAAGGTTTGGGGGCCACTGCATAGCCACAAAATAAGGTAGCAGGATAAGCTAGTTACTCATCTAACTCACCAAATGCAATATAGGTTCATTGTGAAGTTACAGAAAACCAGAACACTAAAATTAAGGGTCAAAATTAAGGGATATGTCAGTTCTGAAATATGGATAATAGTGTTTCTTAAAACGAAACAGTAAAAAATAAAAACCATAGTAAAAAACAAAACCCCTAACTTCAGTTAATCAATATTTCTTTGTATGACATACTTTGAAGAAATACTTGTATTTTTGAATGGGGTTGTTCAGGTCAGACAAAGGAGCTGCATGCTGTAGGAGTGAAAGCAATTAGGAAGTCTTTACTGGGGATGCACAGGACACAGAGTGTCATATGTGCTGCTGCCAGGAAGAACTTCCTGACCATTTAAAATAGTCTTTTCTTTAGGAAATAATGCTAGACCAGACATACTCTTTTCCTACTATTAACCATTCTACAGGCATTTCTTTTGTATTTATAACTTGCTTTATAATTTCAGTAACTTTGGAGCTTAGACAGATCAGCAACCCATAGAAACATGCATGCTCAGTAAATGGTGTATGAGGTACATAAAAGTCTCAGTGTTGGGTAGTGACTACAATTACAGACAGGAATTGAGGCATAGATACTGTTCCAGAAACTCATAATGCTAAGGAAATGCTAAAAATGCCAAGATCAAAATCTTTTAGATACAGTATTCAGTATTTCCTTTTTATTCTAAGCATATTTCTAAAAATCTAGGATATACCAAGACTCATCTTTGCAGTATTTCTTACCATAAAGTAAGAAGAAAATTAAGTCCTGCAAAACATTTTTTCTCAAGTAAGTAGGTTCAGGTTCATAATATTCAATTTTTTTGAAAATACTGAGTGAAAAGAGCTACACATGCTTCTAATTGCTATACTAGACAAACTGGGTCCTTCTACAATGTGAATTCTTAAAATACTTCTGTTTCTCACTTGTGCAATGCATCTATGTACTAATCTAATTTCTGCTTATGATAAGGATGGATTCTTAGTTATATAGGGAGAGGTTCACATCGTATTTATGATTATATTTGAATATACAAAAAATTTTTAAAAAATAAAGTTCTTACTTTTTAGCATATTAATTAGGCAAAACTATAATTTTAAAAAGTGACCCATGACCTAAACACTCTAATTTATAATTTAAAAACTTTTCTGAATTATTTTCATTTAAATCTTTAACAGTGATTAATACAGACTTATCTATATGGGAGACACACGATTTTCTAATAGGAGAGAATACAACTCAAAAAGTTTCCTATACATTCAATCAAGAGCTAAAATTTTATATATCAATTACTAATCTTATTCATTGAACATTCAGAGGAAATAAAGTGTTCTAAAATGTCTTTTGACCTTACAGATATATAACTATTGCATGCACATATGTGTATATTTGTATAGGCATATTTTTAGCGTTTATGAATAAACCTAGAACAATTTCTATCAACGTTTAAAATATTTTTTTTATCCTACTCAAACCAAAAGGCCATTGTGATAGTTCTCAGAAAATTCTTTTTCTGGGGTCATTAGGTACTGGGCTTATGAATATATGCACATGCATGTATTTGCTTTGAATTTGTACTAAATAAATACCATAGGATAAATTTTTTAAAATAGTAGACAATACTGTGCAAAGCAAAGAGAGAGTAGTACTTCTGTAGCAATCAAGTTTTGAACATATGACCCAATACAATGTTCCTCTGCTAATTTATGTCAAAACATAAAAATTACTTTTAATAAGCCTTTAAAAGCTACCTATGTGTTAAATTAATTCTGTAAGTAGCAGGATTCAACTTCTTTTAACTTACCAAAGTCACACAGTTTCAGAACATCATTGTGGCTGATTAAGAGATTTTCTGGCTTTATATCTAGAGTATGAAGATTAAAAAACAATTAGTAAAAATGTTCTATGTTCTGCTGATTGACACTGTTAGATCACCAGAAAACAGCATCTAATTATAAATATCTAGAGTAACTTGAATAGAAAACTGTGGCAGTGAAAAGCAGAGTAACACATTTGATGCTGGTACATAAAAGTTTCAATTAATTTCTTTTTGAGAAACATGCAGGGTCATAATTTCAAAAGCAATTTTTTTCTCTTTAAATCTTAAAAGGACTAATTGGGTCTCAGAAGGAAATTTAAGAATGAATGAATCTAGGCTAATACATTTCAAGAAACTATTTTTACTTCATAAAATACTAATAATACAAATTTTTGGAGATAGAATATAAAATGTTTATATCCAGAAGATACCTTAAAAATATATGAGAGTAAGTAGCTAGCATTATATTTACTGGAAGAAAAAAATACAAGATATGCTTCCTGTTTTGGTTTTCTATATAATTTCTATATTTACATCTCCTTAGCTTTTCTGTGTGGTTCACAATTATCAATGTCTAATTCTGAAGCTATACTGGAGGAGTCAAGTTAAGATTTCTAATTTTTTCCATGGATCTTTTGAAGATGTGGTAGGAGTAGAGATTCATAGAAAATGCAAGTGAATTCTCCCTTTGGGAGGCATCTCACGATTCTATTTTTAGAGTATAGTACCCATCATCTATATCATATGGTGGAGGTGCAAATGGATAAAGGCAGAGGTAGTAAAATTTGTAGATTTCAGAATCATAGTTCATACCACTAATTCGCAACACATTTCAAGAAACTATTTTTACCTCACAAAATACTGATGATACACTTAACCAAGTGTATTACCATGACACTTCACAGTGCCATGATGGAAATGTAGCTATAATAATTTAGCTCCTCATTAATATCCTCAAACTATTATAGAGACTGTAATTAGAAACATTAACCTAGACACTAGATGGCCAGCTGACTTGGAGATCTATCTAACAACCTTGATAAGGTAACTGCTATGAGCATCAAATGCAAGAGAAATATGAACTGTCTCTAGAAATAATAGAGGTTGGTGTTCTCCATATGACCTTTAAGCTATTCTTAAAAATAATACTATTTTTAAAGTGACATCTTTGTGTGTTTGTATAGGTAAATTAAAATGTAGCATTCATTTATCTGATAATTCAAAGCTAAGAAGTGAATATTGCCAATATTTCTGATGAACATCTTTTAGCTTCATTATTTTATTAATTTGTATCCCACTACTGTAAAACTCTGCAATGCAAGAGAGATATTAGGAGAAGATAAATGATATAGAGTCAAAGATGATACTAAGCAAGTAATTTCCCTTTTATTGCTATAAACCACCCACTTCATGGTAGTAAAGGATAAAATAAAAGAGTTTATGGACATGTAATTATGGTCTTTATGGAAGGTTGATCATGCCTACAACCTGCAGACAATGAACACTTTCACTAATGGGTGGGGGAAATGAAGAGGTGAAGACGCATACTAGAGATTGTGGGTGTAAGAGAGAATGAGAGGTGAGTACCAAATGGGGATCAGTGACTTAGGGACCACCTATAAAGCCTGATTCTGGGTTGTTTCACATTACCTGGCCTACCTATAGGACCAAATAAATGGTCCCCCTACCACAAAGTAAGCTTCAAAGTTCACATTTGTTGAGCTTTCTTATATCACTAGGCATTTCTACATTTGAGAGTGGATCTGGATATGGAGGTCTTAGAACATGGAGGTCTCATAATATTCAAATAAATTTGTGATCAATCCTTTTGGTGATGCAAAAGGAGATCTGGAGAGCAAATGACTTCTCACATCCTGTACTTTCAAAATAATAAATTTAAAAGGAAATGTCAATATATGAAATATTTTATTAACTTTATTTGGTATTTTTTAAAATATTTTCCACTTCTAAAATCTCATACTCACCTCTATGGACGATATCATTCTTATGGCACCAGTGAATAGCTTTTATTAGTTGATAGATGTAGCTTTTTACTTTTTCAGGTGGAACTCCATTTGGCATTTCTTCCAGCAATTCAAGCATATTCTAAAATTAGAGTCATTAATTTCAAAAATTAGGTAGGCCCACAAATTATGTATTAACAGTTTTTTTAAAAAACATCTTAGATAATTCATCCAATACACAGCATGTAATTTTTTATTGCTTTTATTTATTGCTTTCCATCTACAACTTTTGTCATGTTGAATCAGGATACTGCATTAAATCAAGCCTTTCTTTTATGAGAAATTCCATTTTTACTACTCGGCAATGATGCTCCAAAAAATAACCCTATGTACTTTTCACTCCCTCTAAAGCTTTTCAGGCATTATTTTAGAATAATTTGAAGGGAAAAGCAATACAAAGTAGAGATATGACCCTGTAATGTATAAAGGGGGTGGGGGAAAACAATTATTTTAACACAGAACAGTATGTATCTTCAACAGAACCTTGCAATAAAATCAAGCCTTGAAAATATCTCTGGAAGATCTGGGCAATATTCTTAAAAGAAAAAAAGAAAAGAAAAGTCCCTAAGATTAGATATGATCAACACATTTAGTACAAAAATTAAAACAGGCTAGAAAATACTGTTGAAATAAAAACTCACAGACCTTAAACAATTCAATAATCAAAATCCTTAGTTTAGAGTCAGAGACCATTCTAAATAAAATTCATGCAAAATTTTTTCTTAAGTAGAAACTCCACTGAGCCAGTTTCCACTGAATTTATACATTAACCAAACATTCTCCATTCCCTCTGTAAATCACAATGTCTAAGGCCCACACCAGCATTATCTTAGCTTATTGTTTGTAGGTGGCATCCAGGATAGCAGTTCTCAAAGTGTGACCTGCAGATCTCCACAGTGTCAGACCCTGCAGAAGGCCCATGAAGTCGAAACCATATTTGTAGTAACACTCAGACACTTCCCTTTTTCACTGTATTGGCATTTACACTGATGATACAAAGCAACAATGGGTAAACTGCTGGCACCCTGGCATGAATCAAGGCATTGGATTTGTTAATCCAACTGACCCTTGCAGTTAAAGAAAAAAGCAGCAGTTTTAGGTAAGAATGTCCTTGATAAAGCAGTAAAAAATACTACCTTTACTAAGCTTCGATTCTTGAGTATATGTCTTATTAAGAATCTATATGATAAAATGAAGAATACACATAAAGCCCGTCTGCTGCATATGTGCCATCTGCATGATGGCTGTCTTTAGGAAAAGCACTTGGACGACTGCAATGCAAGCTGAACTAGCTGCTTTTTCCATGAAACACCATTTTTTACTTGTAAGAATGACTGACAAACTTATTTACATTAACATGTAATGGACTTATTGTTATTTTAAAATGAATATTTTTCTATTGCTCAGTTTTGACTTCCAATGAGAAACATTGCTAAAACCCACATAAATAAAAAGCTCTTAGAGTTCCTAATAATTGTCAGTGTAAACGAGTCCTAAGACCAAAAAGTTAGAAAAACTCTGTTCTAATACAGCCTCACAATTTTGTTCTCACCAGTTGAGTTGTATACCTGTAAAGCATCAGTTGTGCTTACTGCTGTACTTATTTATAATGGATGTATTCGTTATTTTAATATAATTATATCATATAAACCAATGAAATAATATTTTTTAAAGAGTTGCTGTTTATAAGAAAACAAAGTTGAATGCTTTGGAAAGACTTAACAAAAGAAAGCCACTAAGCATATTGCTGTCTAATCAAATGTGAGTGAGATAACTATAAAACACTGGCAAGGCATGGGTGCTGGTGGTAATAAGCATATATATTAAAGGATTCTCCATCCAGATTGCTTTGCAAGTGTTTTTGAGCTTTTCCTTCACTTTAAAGATGCATTATGTGTATGCTGTATGTAAAAAAGGCCAATCAGAAGAGCAATATGCAAAAGGCCTTGACCCTACCTCTAAAGGGTGACAAATGAATATATATAGTATTTATGTTTCCAGTTAAAATAAAATGTTTAAAGTATATGTGAATCTTTTTTTATAATTCTCCATTTGAATTGCCTATTTCAATTAACAAATACACAGGAAGCCCCAAATTCACAGGAGGAAAAGGAGGGCTTTATAATACAGAAAACAAATTGTATCTTTCATAGTCCACTGTAAATTCCTTAGTGGCAGAGATATTGTACCCCAATATCTATTCTTTTATTCCATAGGAATACAATTTTTGAGTGGAGGCCTAGCTACCCAGAACAAAGGGTGCATTTCCCCTCTGCCTTGCAGCTAGTGTGGCCATGCAACTACATCCTGGCCAATGGGATGTGATTGACAGCTTGAGCTCTATCCTGACCTTGAGGACAAAGGCCACATCTCAGTGGTGGTGGAGCAGAAAGGCAGACAGAAATAGCCTGAGCCTCCTACACCATGGAGCAAAGCTGCCATACTAGGCCTGTACTGCCTACCTTTGTATATGTATGTGAGGGAGAAAGAAACTTCCATTTTGTTTAAGCCACTGTAATTCTGAGTCTTTGTTACCTATCTCCTACCCCTTATGGCATCTTTCTCCTTGCCCTCCTGAAACACACTGTCAACTGTTAGGCACTGCCACTAATGGGCAGGTATGGTGGTCACCTTCCACCTAAGAACCACAGGGCCAGGAAAAGAATCCCAGGCCTGGGGGTCACAAGACTGGAGTTCTGGTAGCAGCTCTCCCTTTTACCAGGAAAGAGATCTCAGACACACCAAATTGTCTTTCCCATTGGGAAAACATACACAGAGGTATACTAAATTTTATTAATCATGAATAATCACGAGTAGAACAGAAAAAACTGAAATAGACCTGTCAAAATTTTAATATTTGGCAGTGAAAACTGCAAACTGCATGATTATTTGCGACAACTAAAAAATAAAGAGCATCTCATTTTCCTAGGGATCCTACTTTAGCAATCCTTTTTGGGGGAAAAAAAAACTTTAAAAAAATCAACTTTTAGCTTTATTTTTGTAGAGAAGATACCTTGGGAGAATACCTAAATTGACACAGAAAAAGAAACTTAAAACAGATTTTGGAAAAGGAAAATAAAAGCAGTGGTTTAAAACTACAAAGAACCTTCTAGTATTTTTCAAGTTTGCGAATAATGAAATTACTACGTATATATTTTTTATTTTGAAAACTAATTTGTAAAAGCTGAATGAATTTGAGGTCATGTTATTGGTGAGTCATTTCGGCAACACTGCTTTCCATTTGGTAATGAAAATGGTGATACTCCATCATTTATGGTATAGTTAGCACCTGGGCATGGACCTACAGCAAACATAAACCTCTCTCATCTCAACCTTCTTTAGATAATAGCACAGGAAATTGGTGGGTGCCATCTATTTATTCATCAAGGAAACTGCTAAAAGGTTTTCCTGACTCCAGTTTCTTCTACTGTTGTTAAGGTGCTTATTTGTTTAAGTTCTTAACCAACTGCAATAGGTCACCAGTTCTCTCATAAAGAAATTCCTAAGCACACATTATTGATTACTGTAGCATACATTTGCCCTTAGGTCGTGTCATTAAAATTGTCACCGACAAGTTTAAAGAGTGCTAAGGCATGGTATTCAACTCCCCACTGCTAAATTTGACTGGCTTAAAAAAAAAAAAAAAAGAGTGCTAAGGCAAGTGTGCTTGCTGACAACTCAGACAACACATGCTTTTCTTTCTTTCTCCCCTGCTTCCAATTCCTTACTTGTGGTCTCATCTACTGCCTCAAGCCTTACCTTAGGCCTCCTGGCACATCTCCTTCCTGCAAACAAAGCCAGAATACTGGCTGTTCAAAAGAGGCTGCTTCAAGAGCCTGCCCGTTCACCACCCGAGGTCTGATTTAGACACCCGGCCTGTGTTTGCCTGGAACCTTACACATACCTCTACCTCCCACACCATCACTGTCAATTTACCTGTTTCTCCCTCATAGAGGCCTTGTTTAGGTTTAATTAAAATAACTCTAAAAATTTCTTGTTGAACATAGAGTCTAAGACTTCAGAAGCCAAATCAATATGCTGTTTAAACTTAAGATGATCTCTGTATAGTTAAATTGTGTAAAATCCTTAAATATATTTCAGGGCTTCTAGTGATTATGAATAATGCCCTCATTTTCGAAGTCCTCAGATTATGAGTACATTGATGAGTCATACCAGACAATGATACTTTCTTCAATAATGTCAGAAACAGCCTTAAAGAAAAGAATCAGGAAAATCTGCCTATTGGCAACTAGTGACTTACTTTTTCAACATACTCAAACACCAAGTACAATTTCCCTCTCCGACGAAAGGCTTCCTTCAGCTCCACAATGTTCTCCTGCTTGAGGGTCCGAAGCATTTTAAGCTCTCGTAAAGTCGTTTCTTTGACTTCTTCATTTTCTAGAACATAAATAAACAATGGTGAAGACAGAAGAATTAAAACTTTCAAATTACTGTTCAAAGAATTCCAAGAATACTGAAAACATCCCAATTTCACTTTCCACTTTGAGTACTTCTACATAAGAAGTCTAGGAATGAAATGTTAAATAATACTTTTTCTTGTTGAAAGGATCAAGAATAAGAAAAATAAATAAGAAAAGGTTTACTTGACCAGCACAAACTTGATTTTATGCTTGTATTTTCTTATACTCCTTTTATTGCAAAGTATATATATAAAAACACAGATTTATAATACAACATATGAATCCATTGTCATCTTAACCCTAATACTCTGTACTGGGGAAGGAGGAGTTTAAAAAGGCAGTAAGGACTCAACCATATTAGTGTGCCAAGGAACCTCTATGCAGCCAGCATCTGCAGTAGTTGACATTTTTAAGGTGGGTCTGAAACTTTGGCTTAAAAGAGCATTTTATTCCTCAGGCTGCATGTGAGTCACCTCAGTGAGCAGAGGTCATGTGCTAGGCATCCACAATGCAGTTCACAGCCAAGTTGCAGCGAATTCTAAGAGTGCCTGATCATCTCTCTGAACAGCAGCTGTTGTAGGTTCCTGCTGTCCTCCTATGGCATGTCCATCTGTCCATCCCAGATGGTGTAGCAGTTCTGGTAAGGAGAACTTACGCTGAACGAATATACCCTCTTCCATACCATCAACTTGACTCATGCTAACCTCCACAGTCATGGAGGAAGGACAGAAGTCATATTAACTCTAATGGATTAACTGGCAGGGGAGTGGGGAAGATAATTTCATTTTAAATGAGCTTTTATGATAGCTTTAGACTTAGCTGGGAAATTCTAACTACCATGTTTTTGTACGTATGTACCATGTTTTGTATGTATGTACCCTGGTATATACATGGGTACATACATGTACCCTGGTACATGGTATTTAGAATACAGGTTCATAATCCCTCTATAATTCCAAAACCCTCCAAATAGTCTAAAAACTGGAAGCTTTTTCTAAGTTTATGGCAAATTCAGAGGCAAAATCTGAACTGACATGAGACCACTTATATTCTTTATCCCATCCAATGTGAACATTTGTGTGGTGTGCTATAGAATTACTACTTGATTATTAGGTACTATATAATATGCCATATTCCCATTCTAAAACCCCAAAGTTATGAAATCCTAGAACACATTTGTTCCCAAGGTTTTGGGTAAGGGCCAGAATCGTAGCTTGAGAGTTGTGTAACCCGCAGGCTCAAGTATGTCTTCGAGTTTGAGGAGGAAGAAAATGGAATTTGGAGATAGGGGCAAGGAAGATGAATATGCCTTCTAGGAAGAAATGCTTTCTAAGCAAGGTACACAGAAGGAAAAAGGCTAAATGAGGGCCAAAGGGAGATGCAAGATTCTAGATGCAGTGCCAGGAATACTTCCTCAGATTATTTTCTATCCCAGCCCCCTCTCCCAACCCCCACTTAAACTGAGATTAAGAAAAGGGACTGTAATAAAAAGCAGGGGCTTCATAGCATGAGAATCTATAACAGACCAGGAGCATAAAGAAGGTCAACACTCCTTTGTGAACTGGTTACTAAGAGAAGTATTCTCCTACTTCAACCAGAAAGCTGTTGGAGAATGCTGGGACACAGATTAGGAAAGGACAGAGAGAGATACTGCTTATCGGAAGACAAGAATCAGCAGCAGGAAAGGCCGACAGTGGCATACGCAGTGAACCAGCCCAGCCCACACTAGGGAGGTAAATTGGGAACTAGGTAGTCACAGGGCTCATGTCAGGGGAAAAAGACTATGACAGTGGATGCCACCTGGCAGTGGGGGAATGTGTGAGATGCAGTCAGAGGATTTCCCAAAGTGGCTTAGAGGACTGTGAGAGGACAAAGGTCCACCTATTCTGCAAGCTGGGGCTGAGCCAGAGAAGTGGTGTTACATGACTATTAGAATGCTATGGTATAATATGCTGAAATAAATAAATAAAAAAGAATGCTATGGTAGCCCCAGGTGCTGAAGCCGAGGGACCACCACCACTTTCCTAAAGAGGCTGAACTGGGAACCTGCTTCTCTGATATTCCCTCTGAGTTACTCTCAAGGTTGGGGTAATCCCACTAAAATCCATCTAGCTCTAAGAGACAGAATGATACATAGACCTCAATAAGAAACAAATGATCTACAAGGAACTAATCTAAGAGGAGATAAATATACTCAGTACTCATGATCTGATCACTGTCTGCCTTTCTATCCCCATCTCCTCCCTCCCCTTAGTCTCTCAGTTCCCCATGCCCCTCTCCTCCTTCCCCTTAGTCGCTCAGTTCCCCAAATAGCTCCTAAATTTATTTTTCAATCTTAGGGCCTTTGCACTTATTCTCTCTGCCTTAGAATGCTCAGTTTACTACCCAGGCTTTTTATATGCTGGCTCTGTCAGGTTTTAGTTTAAATGTCACTCCTCAAGAGCCTCTCCCAGACCACAAAGCAAGTAGGTCTCCCTCCTCATTATGCCTTATCACAGTACTCTGGACTTTTCTTTCACAAAACTTTTGACCATTTTTCTTGATATATCTGTTTGCTTACTGGTTTACTATCTGTGCAGCCATCCTGCTAAACTGAGAGCTCTAGGAGGACAGGACAAAGTTCTGCTCTTCAACAATACACACCAAACACCTAGGACTGCACCTGGCATGAAGAGGCGCTCAATAAACTCTTCCTATGGGAATGCTTCACCTGGGCCATGAGGAAATCTCTGCTCATATATGTCTAGTTCTTCCTCACTTCAGGCATGGGGGGAAACAGCAAGGGGATGACAAATAATAGGCACTTTGCCCCCTCAGTTCTCAGTACAGTGCTGTCAATCTTCTCTCTGGAGACCTTTGAAACGGCTGGTTAGCAGGCAATAAGACACTGCATTTATCTTTATTTCCCCCTATTCATCTCTGTCCCTTTGTCTTCTACAGTACAGGATTATGAAAAATGGAGGATCTAGAAAACTGACAGTACTCAAAGTCAAGAACACAAACACATACACATATACAAATAAAATTATTAAAAGTACCCATAAACTGTGCTGGAGCTGGGTACTAATAAATATTTCAACAAAGTTGCTAAGTAAATACAGCTGGTATATCTTCCCTAATCAAACACTTGGTGAATTCTTGGCATCCAAAAAGCAACTGAAAAAAAAGGGCACTTTGTATTATTAGCAACTTGTGGCAGTTTCACTTTGCTAACAGATAAAGCCACCTTAGAATGGCCAAATCAGAATGGTTTTAGTAGAAGGAACACTGGAATACAACTAAGGAGACCCAGGTTGGGGACTCAGTCTTTTAACAAACTAACAGTGTGACATGTAACTTTGGGCAAGCCACTTAGCTTTTCATCATTAATATAAATAAATGTCCCCCACTTCCCAAAAAGCCTATGGTCTTTTTCAAATCTAATAATCTATGATTTCTTTTCATTAAAATCTTATTGATTATAAGCCTAAACCTCATGGAATTTTGGCACTTTGTTATATTTACATTATTCAATCTATACTGACTCCATTTAACAATAGTTATAGAGAGAAGATAAATGAATCTTCAAAAAGAAGCATACTAAATCACCTAGCATTTAGTTCCAAAACAACCTCATATGAGCAGACTCTTATTTTTAAATAAAATAAAGTCTTCTCTACTTTATGCCAGTCATAGATATTCAAATTTGAGGTAAGCACTTGAGCACTAAGAATGAATGGGAATAGGCAGGAAGTGGAGTTAATTCCCTAAGTGCATGCAGAATGTGCACTCTTCATTACTTGGTACATCCTATAATTTTGTTTTTCTAAATGCTTTTAAGGTTCCTGGCCTGCCCTGCACTTTGTGATGAAAATTGTGGCACTAAATTATCAGATGATGGGGAAAAGGAATGCACATTCCACTTAAACATGCTTCTCTCCTCAGAGGTTCAGACAGTAGCAAAGCACTTCAGCAAGACAGTTTTTTAAAGGTGGTAGGTAGCACAGCCCACTAAAATGAGCACAAATATCATTACCTTCTAGTCGAAATAATCCTTGTGGATTCTTTATTTAGGCTAGCTCCTCCAGTCTACAAATGAAGAAACCAAGTCTAGAAAGGATCACTAACTTTCTCAGAGTGAGTGAACCGAGGATCACATTCTACCTCATAGTCTGAGTAGAGAACACAGGGACCCAGGTGGTTTGGTATAACAGTGAGCTTTGGAGAGTGAGTCACAGCACCCAGGTTCAGGCCTAGATTCTGCTACTGTTTAGCTGAGTGGCAAAGCAGCATAGTATGAGTAGAAGAAAAACCCAATGAAGATTCTGGGTCTGCATTTTAGTGGCAGTTAATCACATACAAGCTGTGCAACTTTGGGCCTTGGGCTCATCATCCGTAAACTGGGGCTGGGTTTACACTGGATTATTCTGAAGGTATGTATCTTCCAGCTCTAAGGGCTGGTGTATATAGACATACCTCCATAGCTACAGAAAACATATATGCATGCTGACTAGTCTTGCTATCAGTTACCACTGAGGGGGTTTAGCTGAATGCAGGAGCAACTCTGACAAAGTTATATGCAGATATATACGAGGGCTATCCGGAAAGTATCCAGCCACTGTTAATATATTTTTCACATTACATGGCTGGATACTTTCCAGACAGCCCTCATATAAACCCCGCTGGGTGAAGACTAAATAGAAAAAGGATGTCAAGTAAAAACAAGCAAACCAAAAACTGTCCTACTTCTAAGCTTACCAGTAAGGTAAGTTAACACACCTAAAAACTCAAGAGAGAGTCAACTAAAGTAAAAGAACAATTTTTAAGAAGAAAGATCACAGGAGCAAAAGAAATTCAAAGATAAGTGATGAAAAGAGAAAAATCTAAAGATGAACGGAAACTCTATTGTAACTATTTTTAAAGAACTGTGGGCTTGGAAAAGAAATCCAGGAATAGCTATAACCTACTTTATGAAATCAAAAACCTGACATTTTTGTATAGCCAAGAGGTACCCCAAAATGGACCTTCAAACAGATATACTGAAAAACGAAAAGTCAACTAACCCTTGTTCAAAATCATGGGGGTACCATGTTTGAGACTGGTTGCCCTGATTGAAGAAGGAACATAAACAGCAGGGCAATTCATGTTTCTGAGGAGGTTCGAATACTGATGCTGATCTTATAACAAAAAAGATGAGGACCCTTTAATCTTCAGAGATGAAGGGCAAGTGGAAGCACAGTGGAAATTTATTAAATTATTCCATTTTGGATATGATAAGGAAGTGTGGTGAAATCATGACAAGTCAGAATGCTCAAGCTCAGTTAATCAAATTATTTAATCAAGGGTTGGAAGCACTGTTTCAAGGCCTCTCTTACAGAGAAACTGGGCTCCTAAATTTAGGAACTTAAGATTATGAACTTTTATTTTGTACCATTATATAAAATAAGAGACCAGAGTACTCCTGGATGCAGAGATCAGTATAGAGCTTTCTAGTGTATGGGCAAAATATAAGAATGAAATAAATTAGAGGATAGAATATATGATCAATTAAATATTTTCTAATAACAATGTCTATTCCAAGAGAAAAATATTTATAGAAGACATAAGCAGCAGAATATGAAGTGCAAATAATTTTGATATTAAAGCAGAGACCCAAGCTAAATTCCATCTCAAATATGGACTGCGACGCAGCTCCCTGGAGTCGGCCTTCTTACTATGTATGGAAGCCCAGTGACAAGTAGAGAGAATCCCTCTTCACCCCATCATCTGTACATTCAAGGAAAGAGTGAAAAGTCCAAAGAAGCAAAAGGAAGATCCAAGTATATGTCAAAAACATTCTAGACAACAGGTTCTCTTAAAGTAAAGATTGAATAGACAGTATTTTAAATTCTTGCTGGTCTAAAGCTATGCAGTCTAAACCAACATTCTAGGATTATTTAATAAATTGAGGACAGCAGACACTTGCACATGTGTACGTATGGGAATGATAAGCCAATAATGATAGAAGATCAATGTCTGAACATCAAATCTCTTTGTATAAGATGAAAGTTATAGGAAGGGTAGGAGAATTAGGCTAAATTTATAATTATACATAGTCTGAAGAGTGCCTTTTAACTAAATAATCTTTAGTATCTTTATGGTCTGTGGTCATTTTTTCCCTTCTTCTCAGAAAATCCAAATAATGGGCAGAACTAATTCAATGGAGACTTCTAGTTGCTTAGGTATTTATTAAAGTTTCTCAGAGGGAATTTACATTAATAGACAAATTTATAATACTGTCATTTAGGGTATTATTAAGAATTCATTATCTGAGACTCCAAAATTATGAAGTATCAAGAAGCAAAAGTCATCTAAATAAGAAAAAATTAACTAATGAAGTGATCTCAGGCAAAAGTTTGTCACTCAAACATTCCTCCCTTTTAAAGGAGTCTTTATCCCGACTCAGGGTGTCAAAGTCTTTCAGGGAGAATCATAGGCAAAGATACTGATAAATGATCTGATCATATCAGCTAACAACTGGAGAATAAAATCCTGAAAAAGATGAATCCAGAAGGACAGGAATATAAAAAAAATGAAGAGAAAGCTGATAAAGCCTTTTGTGTATGTTTTAATGAGCCTCTTTTTATCATGTAAGTTATTCATTAGCCTAGTCTACAATTTTGCTGTAAAAATTGCTCCTCTTCCCAAAAAGATAGCACTTGATTCTTTCTTCTAATAGCACATTAGAAGCTATTAGAACTTAAATTGTGTTAACTATGAACATATTTTCATAATTGTAGTTTCATTTTACCAACTTCAAGTCCCAATATAACCTTTATTTATGATGAAATTTTGGTTCCCAGTTTAATAGAGATCTATTATCCTGTGATAATAAGGACCTCTTGAACTGAACAGTGTCTACCATAAAATATATTAATAGTTTCAAAAACGTTTTATACAAATTTGTGGATACATATAAATTTAACAAGAAAGTAGAACATTAGCATACTCTTTTAAATCTACCATAAGATAATATATACTTTCACAAAATATCATCAGTGAGAGAATATAGATGGTCCCCGACTTACAATCGTTCAACTTAGGATTTTTCAACTTTAGGATAGTGTGAAAGCTATACATGTTCTGTAGAGACCATACTTTGAATACCCAAACGACCATTCTGTTTTTTTAATTTCAGTATAATGTTCAATAAATTATGTAAGATATTCAACACTTGACTATAAAACAGGCTTTGTATTAGACAATTTTGGCCAACTGTAGGCTAACGTAAGTGTTCTGAGCATGTTTAATGTGGACTAGGCTAAGCTATGATGTTCAGCAGGTTAGGTACATTAAATACATTTTCAACTTAATACTATTTTCAACATATGATGGATTTATCAAGATGTAGCCCCAACATAAATTGAGTAACTAATATCAAGGATTAATGAGAACTACATGACAATAAAGGTAATATTATCATAACACTTTATTATAATTGGCTGAAAATGAAGGTAATAAGCCAACTGAGAATTAAATGGACCTCCTCACCTGTAAGAAACTATGTACACTTTGATAATGATTTGGCCGAGATGAGGGCAGAGCAGATTAATGTTTTGTCAGCTCAACGAAATAAGGGCAGATCAAATGTTTTCCATGTCTAGACTCTTCATGCACTCCCAGATGCCACAGCTAGAAACAATCTCTCTTGCATCAAAATTATCCAAATTCCATGTCTCAATTCAGGCACTGACTGTTTCTACTATTTTATCATTATTTATTTACAGGTCTTAATTCTACTAATAGGTCATAATCTTTTTGAAAGTATCCATACCTGAGTTATCTTCATAGTTCTTACATTACCTGGCTCAGGGTTCAATGCATTTCAAAGAATACACTGTTGCTTGCCACTTTGAAGGTATCATAAGTAAAAACATATCATATAATTGAAGCTAAGAATTGGTATGTACAAGACAGAGATTGTGAAGAATATGGTATTTAGTTTTTTTTAAAAAGAAAAAAAAGCAATGGCATACATGGCCTAGATTGTACTCCTTTTAAAAATTTTTGATGACAATTATTATTTTTGGTGGTAACTGATGCTTGCCAATGTGCCCTGCAAGATGAATGCACAGCCAGCATGTGAAGGTGATGCTTTGATCATCTGTTGCAAGCGCTCTTTTTAGGAGATCACCATTTGTCTCTTGACCACCTGTCGTTAGCCCAAAGTCAACTGCTCAAAGAGCTCATTTCCAATGGTCTCACAGTGGGTTGGCCTGGGGCTACTGCTTCCTGTTAGAGCACAAGTACACCATTTGAAGAATGTTTTTCCCCCTCCAGAACAAGCAAAAAGCATTTGTCTTTTGCCTTCCCTTTAAGGCTGCCCACACAATGGCTGCTGAAGTTCCCAGCTGATATGCATATGTTCCACATAACCAGCACATCAGAGATGGATTACATCAAGTATACTGAATCTATCCTGAGACTTTTTTGTTAGCAAGCCCTTTTTGTTATTTAATGTTTGCTAAGTCTTTGAGGTGAGGGCGATGAGCTATTCATAAATACAGAAGGTGGGTCTTATACTACTTAGTAAATGTGTGCCAATGAAGGTAAGTTATGACTGTTATTTTCATACTTTTGATTATATCTCAAGGTTGATGCTATGCTGCTACCTCTTACCCCTAGATCACTGTTTTTCAAATGGCAGACTGTGACTCATTAGTGGTGAAATAAATTTATTTGATGCCACAATAGGCATTTATACAAATTTATATGAAGAGGAGAGAACAGAAAGTAGAGAACCTCTCACATTCACATAATAGTTTGTGACACCTTTGCTATACAGTACAATACATGTGTGGACAACACTGGGTTGGGGTATAAAATATATTTGTACTGTGGGTCTTTGTCCAAAAAAAATTGAAAAATATGCTGCCTAGAGCTCCTTAAAGGCCATACATATTTTTGTGATCAGTTTCTCTATTCGGCTATTTTTGGATAGCCCACAGTCTAGATTTAAAGACTAACGAACTACTGAAATGCTTTATTTTAAACTTTTTGACTGCATAGGGTACTTTTAATATTCTGTTTGAAATGTCCTGGATGTGTGATGAAGGCCTCCAAGTATGGTATTTCTTCTTGAAAAGCTTTTATTCCCCCAGTGAGTCATTCTAAATATAAAAATCACTCCTCCCTCGATACTGTCTACCACTTATCCTTGTATTTCTAACTGTCAGAACTGGAGATCACAGTAACCAATACTGAAACCTTTCACATAGCACTCGCAACCAGTGTGAACCCACAGAAGTATTTACCTCAAATCAGTTTTTTCACTTTAATATAGAAACAGTATAGATAACATTGCTTTCTATCCAGCCTTTGGAGCAAGATTTCCAACATTGACTGTACCTTAAAATACACAATGAATTTTCTAATATAGTGAGCTTTGAAGAGTCACATAGAAAGAACTAAATATTTCAGAGAGAAGCATGATAAGCAATAAGCTATATTCACTTTCTGAGACTGTGACTTTAGAATTTCTGGAACAGACAGGGTCTAACCATCTAGATCCCACCTTTTCCATACTCTATTTACAAAAATTTAATACAGAAGAAAAAAAAAGTATATATATATATATATACCTTCACTGTCCTTGAATTTCTTGATCGCCACAATTTCATGTGTTTCCTGCAAAGGAAAAGAGGCAGAAGGAAAATCATTCTCCAGTGTTTTTCTGACTGGGGATCCCAATTGTCTGGGGGTATATTCTGGGACACAGTAGCAAGAACCCAAAGAGTAAAAAAAAAAATAGATCCTCCTCCCCCCACGCCCCTCATTTCTTGGTTCCAAAATTCTCTTTCTTACCACCCTGCAGATATAGTCAAGAAAGGAAAAGGAGAAGGGGGAAAGGGTGGGGTGCAAAAAACAGAGATGGTGATAGAATATGTATGAATCATAAATCAGAAGTGTCAATGTCTTGAGGCTACTCAAAAGTGCCAGGATGAGTGGCATAGATTGTCATCTGTACTTCCCTCTAAAACCGAGAGACACATTTTAATTGGGCTTCTAAGACTAAGAAACGGCCTCTACAATACTTAATCATTGCTGGTAGCAGAATGCTCTTCCAAGTCACCTCCCTTCACTTACCTTTTCCTAACAAACATATCTAGTTTTCGCCAGCTTTTCCCTATTGGTGGTCACTGCAAACCCAAAGTGAGATAAATATTCCATCACCACCTTCCCCCCACGCTTATTTATATCTTCTGAACAAAAGTAGTTTGGGGGCAGAATCCTGCTTTAAATTAAAATATGAATTTGTTGTTGTTGTTGTTATTTTTGGTTAGGGGAAAAGAAAATAAAGCTTGGAAAGGAGATACAAATGCTAAGAACTAAGTGCCACTAAGCTAAATAACTTGTGTCTAATTATGGTCTATAACAGGAATAAAAAAGCTTTTGGTAAAATAATTAATATAGATTCTTCAAAGCCAACATGTCAGATGAAAGCCTCCTGAATGACTCAGGCCTGTTCTTTTTCACTCTAAGTGGGTACACTTTCTGATCAAATCTTTTAATAAACATTGTCCCTGCATCAAAACAAAGCCTTTAAAATTGGACACAGTACCAGGCAATAACCAACAGGGTACAAATCATTAACTTATTAAAAATATAACCTTTTCTCCTAAGTCCTTTTCAAAAACAAGGCGAAGGAAGAAAGGGAGAGAGTGGGAGGGAGAAAAGAAAAAGACCATTTTAATCATTATGCTAAAAGACAAACTCTGAGTCCTAACTATGTCTTATACATCAAAACTCTGTTTCTCATCTACCCATTGATAAAAGAAAATATCGGCTTTCATATCTGTATTATAAGAAAAAGAATTTATTTGAAAGTGCCACAAACTACTGAAGAAAAGGATATTTAAGGGTATTACATTTTTGTTTTTAATGGAAGAATAGATAGAATTGTAGGGTACAAACAACTTTTAGGATACAACTCATTTATATACCAGTGGATCTTCTGACTTAAAGAAACTCAGTCTTCCAGGTACTTTCTGATGTTATAACTACTTTATTATTGAGAAAGAACAACTGCCGATTCCAAGTGATATGGAAGATATTAGCCCAGGTAGTATTAGAGTGATTCTTCTACATATGCTACCTTCTCATAATACATTGATATCATGGTCTTATCTTACTCCTTTTCAAATGGCTCTAGTGAGCAACCTACCAAGAACAAACCCTATGGGGAACCTCTTCTTGCTTTGCTCACAGCACAAAGAAAGGCGTAGCATGATGGGCTTCCAGGACTAGAGGAAAACCATTCACATCTCAAATGAGCATTGCTCCAGGCATTGCTCCATCCTATATTCCACTCTAACTGAAAAAGCCCCACATACATTTCTTTTATTGCATCCTAAGTGTCTAAACTTTGTTGGACTGATTTTATACGAGATCTTAGTTCAAAACTGTCCATTGATATGATACAAATTTAAATTTATAACTAGCACACTCACACCATCTTAAAGAAATACATTAGTTTTTTTTTTTTTTCCTGGCATCTCATAAATTAAATTTTGTAAAAAACAGGTCGCTAAAGGAGTCAAATAAAATAAAATGCTTTTTAAAAAATTTATCCTTTCAACAAAACCATGGAAATCCCCTTTCCTCAACACTCAGTCTTCCCATATATGATTTATATATTTACTTAAAGAATGAAGCAAATTTTTCTCAAATTTTGATAGTAATATCATAAGTCTTGTTGTACATTCCTTTTATTTCACTCGATAGTATATAAGCAACATTTTGACCTGTCATTAAATAATTTTTAAAACCACTATTTTTATTTTTTTATTTCAGCATATTATGGGGGCACAAATGTTTAGGTTACATTTGTTGCCGTTGCTCCCCGGAAGTCAGAGCTTCAAGCACGTCCATCCCCCAGACAGTACGCACAGCACCCCTTAGGTGTGAATATATCCATCCCCTCCATCCCCCTCCCACCTGCCCGACACCCGATGAATGTTACTTCCATATGTGCACATAAGTGTTGATCAATTAGTACCAATTTGATGGTGAGTACATGTGGTGCTTGTTTTTCCATTCTTGTGATACTTCACTTAGTAGAATGGGTTCCAGCTTTATCCAGGATAATACAAGAGGCGCTAGATCACCATTGTTTTTTTGTGGTGGAGTAGAACTCCATGTAAAGCCACTATTTTTAAAGGACGGTTATTTAACCAGTCTATCAATGTACACACTTTGACACCTGCATCTTTATTTCCATAAATTCTGTTAAGTGATAGAAGTGGTTCAAAGGGTATGAATGTTAAAGGCTCCCAATATGTACTGCCAAACTGATGTCCAAAAATATATCATTTCACAGTTCCCTTCAGTAGTGTATGAAAATACCCACTATACAACCATTGCCAAAATGAAATATAAAAAATCTCTGGAATTCAATGAGATCAGAGAAGTTTTCTTCTATCAACTGGTAAGTGAAATCAGGTCTAGTAGGGTTAATATTTTTTTTAGTGATTCATGGATGAGAACTTATTGCTAAATTTTGTTACAAATGTTTTCCCCAGGTTGTTGTGATCATTGAACTATTTAGGGTTTTGTTGTTGCTGAATATAAGCAATTACTACATAGTCGATTTTACTGATATAGGCCTTTGTAATTATGTCCACTACCTTTGTGCTCAAAGTACTTACTTAGCCTAAGCATGGTTAATATTCATCTGCAATTATGTGTTTTGATATTTTAATGATTTCTTTCCATAAATCTTTATGCATCTGTAATTTCTTTTAATACATGACATGGCAAGGGAACTGAGATTTAATATAATTTTTAAATACTGAATCAATTTTCCTTATACCCTTTACAATGGATTTATAGTTCTTTGTATAATATATCTTAGCATCCTTACATATATAGTCTACATTTGCTTTCAGAGCTTTCTAGTCAACTCTAGTCTAGTGTAGGCTCTACTGATTTGTTCTTATGTTAGAACAAATTTAAATTATTGTGACCTTAAACTCTATTAAATTAATCTGAGGTGAGGTGATAGACCCTGATTCTTCATATACCATTTTGTTAAATACATTATTTTTGAGAATAGGTTTTGGCTGTTAAATTTGTAATTATACATACATGAGCTATTATGTTTCATATATATTTCTTTACATATTCAATTGGCTTCACTTTTTACCATGAGTCCTTTTCTCCTATGTTTTTCATATATTTGAGTGATTTACTTGCATTAATTTTTGCTTAGACAAAGTGCACCTCTGAATGTTTTTCTAAGGAAGTACCCTTATTTTCCAAGACTTTGTATGTCTGAATATCCTCATCCATGCATGGCAACTTGACAGGCACAAAATTTTGGAGAAGATATCTTTACATTCTTCAGGGTCCCTATAAGTTTATGTGTACTGCAAAGCCCTAGATAGTGCTGTTCACATCATAGACATATAGATCTGTATGCTTATGGAAGCAATTTCAAAGCAGATAGGAGTAAAGCATCTTGTTGAATAATAACAAAATCCATATAATAAGACACTTTTCCAATAAGAAAATTAAGGGTCTTAAAAGAAGAGACATTTATAAGACATTATAACCTACAACCAACTGATCTTCAATAAACCAGACAACAACATATACTGGGGAAAAGAAGCCCTATTCAATAAATGGTGCTGGGAAAATTGGATAGACACATGCAGAAGATAAAACAGGACCCTAGTGGAGAGAGATTGCCACTTATAAAAATTAATTCAAGATGGATAAAAAAATGGATAAAAGACTTAAACATAAGGCATGAAACCACAAAAATTCTAGAAGAAAATGTAGGATAAACTCTATTCTAGACATTGGCCTAGGCAAAGAATTTATGACTAAGACCCTCAAAGGCAATTATAGCAACGAAAATAAGTAAATAGGATTTGATTAAATTAAATGACTTCTGCACAGAGAAAGAAATAATCAACAGAGGAAATAGACGACCTACAGAATGGGAGAAAATATTAGCAAACTATATATCCAATGAAGGGTTAATATCCAGAATCTACAAGGAACTCAAGCAAATCAGCAAGAAAAAAACCCCATTAAAAAGTGGGCAAAAGAGATGAACAGAAGTTTTCAAAAGAAGATAGACTAATGACCAACAAAGATATGAAAAAATGCTCAACATCACTAATGATCAGAGAAATGCAAATTAAAACCACAATGAGGTATCACCTTATCCCAGTTACAATGGCTTTTATTAAAAAGTCCATAAACAATAGATGCTGGCATGGAGCAGAGAAAAAGAAAAACTTACACACTGTTGGTGCGACTGCAAACTGGTATAACCTCTATGGAAAACAGTACGGAAATTCCTCAAAGAACTAAAAGTAGACCTACCATTCAATTCAGCAATCCCACTACTGGGTATGTATCCAAAGGAAAGGAAGTCGTTTTATTAAAAAGACACCTGTACGAAAATGTTTATTGTAACACAACTCACAATCACAAAGATGTGGAATCAACCTAAGTGCATAAGTGGATTAACAAAATGTGGTATATATATACATACAATGGAGTACTACTATTCAGCCATAAAAAGAAATGAATTAATCTCTTTTGCTGCAATTTGGATGGAACTGGAGACCATTATCCCAAGTGGAGTTTCTCAGTAATAGAAAAACAAACACCAC